ACCTGCTGTGTTGGCAGGTCGCCTTTCTTCAGCGCTGGCGCGGCTCCTCTACGCAACGCTGGCAGGCGGTCGACCATGCTGTGCTGGCGGTCGACCAGCCTGGCTGCTAGGTTGCTAGGTTCCTGATGCAGTCATTCTTGCCACTGTTGTATCGATCAATTCAGTAATGCAACTTTCCCTAGTGAAACTCTTGCCAAATTGCTTTGTAAACGCACAAGTGCTAGAGAACGCTAATGAAGCTACGATCACTCCTGGGTCTCGTGCCAACTCCTGTAGTCTAGCTCCCGATCGTTGTAGAGTGAATCTCAGCATAAAATCACTAACACTCTTGGCCACAGAACATCATGCTGACCTTATGTCATCTTCCTAACATGGAGTTGTTGAACTTGTGAATTGTCATGAATTTCATTTGCCAGGTGAGTGTTTGAAATGGATCACAAGAAACAGGAGCAGAAGTGCATAAATCATATCTATTTCCTTATACTTGTATCTCATTAGCTAAAATCAACACTATGGACAAGTCTAAAAACACAAAATAAAGCCAACACATGTCATATACTGTTAGAATATATATTGTTCTTACATAATTGCAGCTAGTAGTGTAGGGCCTTGGTGGTATACCCCCCTTTGCCGCCTTTCCTATATCTTGTATCTCTCTCCATATTGCAAACCCTCTTCTTTGGCCAAACCTCTCACCATCCAAACCCTCGTTCCTAGTCTCTAAGTTCCTAAGCACTCCACAGTTTGACATGCTATCAGAGCTGGTCCCGGTGTAAGGACCTAATTTCTTTTGAGGAACATGGGCCCGATCTTGCTGCAGCGCGAAATGCGTTTTTTTTTTTTTTTTTTTTTTTTTTCCGTCCGCCCGTTCGCACATGTTGCGCCCTTCCCATCGCGCACGATTCGCCCTGCCCGTCCGAGCGTATTCTTCCCTGCCCGTCCGCGCGTGCGTTTCGCCCTTTCCGTCGTCCGAGGCCCCCCCTCGTCGCCCCGCGGCCCCCCGTCACCCCACGATCCGCCAACGCCAGCGACGAGCGCCAGAGCAAGCGCCAACGCCAGGGCCGGTCGCGAGCGCCAGCGCCTGCGTCAGCCGCGAGCGCCAGCGCCAGCGCCAGACGCCAATGCCAGCACCTGCGACTGCCGCCAGCGCCAACGCCAACGCCTGCGCTGTCAGAATCCCAACCACTAACCACTAAGATAAAAGGATTTGTTTTTTGTGTAGCGGGTGAGTGCGCCCATAACCCCCCAGGCCGACGTGCCTGTAACCCTTCCCTAGGATCAATCGGGGATCTCCAGTGGACCTCTGACACCCCCCCGCACTAGGATGCCCGAGGTGCACACACCGGGGTAAAGGGGCTGAACCCGAGACCTTCGCTCTGATACCTTGTCAGAATCCCAACCACTAACCACTGGGATAAAAGGGCTTTTTTTGTGTAGCGGGTGAGTGCGCCCATAACCCCCCAGGCCGACATGCCTGTAACCCTTCCCTAGGATCAATCGGGGATCTCCAGTGGACCTCTGACATGAGCCAGCGCGAATGACGGCGCCAACGCCGGCAGCAGCTGATGCCCTCCCCCCCCCCCCTCTCCTTCCGCGGCTTCCGTCGTGGGGGGGGGGGGGGAGGGGGAGATGTGGGGGTGGCGGGTGTGAGCAGCCTGCAGCCCGTCCCTCCCTTCCCTCTTCCTCTCTCCCTGCAGCACTTGTTGTTGTGGGGGGGGGGAGGAGAGAGGTTAAGGGGGGAGGAGAGAGTTTAAGGGGGTGAGAGAGAGAGAGAGAGAGAGAGAGAGAGAGAGAGAGAGAGAGAGAGAGAGAGAGAGAGAGAGAGAGAGAGAGAGAGAGATGGGCGTTTTCTCGTGCCGTGTCGTTTCTCGTTCCCCTCGTCTCTCTCACCGGGCATCCTCTGCGAAGGTTCAACTGCAGGCGGGTATCCTACCGAAGGGCCCAGCTGTTGCACGGTGATTGATGCGTTTAGGGTTGAGCACCCCTACACCAACTAGTCTGCATGCAATTAAAGGGGGGTATTAGAATATACCGTATATTGTTTTTTATATAATTGCTGTATAGCTAGTAGTGTAGGGCCTTGGTGGTATACCCCCCCTTTGCCACCTTCCCTATATCTTGTCTCTCTCTCCATATTGTAAACCCTCTTCTTTGACCAAGCCTCTCACAATCCAAACCCTAGTTCATAGTCTCTAAGTTTCTAAGCACTCCACTGTTTGGCATATACCATACCATGGAAGTGGTTGTTTCGAGTAGGTATGCATTTACTATAATCAAAGCAGTTTTTTTATACAAAGCATATGGTACTGGTATATGGATGGATCCCAATTAATTCGTTTCCAGATTATTTATTCGTTAGCGATAGAAAACCGATCCATCCATTACACTAGATGTCCGCTTCTTAGATGCCCGTTTGAAAACAAACTCCATTACATCCAAAGAGAGGAGCCTTTCTTGAATGGAGTCGCTCATAACCATTTCCTGCACAGACGTTTACAATTGTGCAACAAATTATAGGAATGAGAATGTAAAGTATGTCAGTACACAAACAAATACTGTCCTCTTTAAAGTATGACGTACGCACCTTCATTTTAGCGATGCACGCTTCTTGCCCACTACACTCAAAAATCTTCTCCCTGCACCAAGCAGCTAACTGCACCGCGCCGTGAGCCGTTGCCACGTGGAGGCCGTCAAATGCCAGCTGGAGGTCCCCAGATTCCGCAGCGACAGCCGCCAGTTCGCCGTCCAGCGCGTACACGAGCTCCAGGATGTCGTACTTGTTCGCTGTCGTCAGCAGCTGCAGCCCGTGGCTCTGGGGAAGAAAATAAGGGGTATTGGAGGGTTGGGAGTGTCATATTTGCCGTTAGGAATTCGTTAGTTGCCATAAATGTTAGTTGTGCAATATACCGCTAAGACTAGGTGTCGAATGCGGGACACGCTCGGGTTGGGAGCGCACCAGCAGGTACTTCTTGGGGAGGTTGCATCCGCCCGCGTAGATAAGGCGCAGGAAGAGGCGCAGAGTGCACTCGTCCATGTCGTCCATCCTCACTGTAGGCCGCTCCGTTGTCTCCATAAAGCCGTTCGTAAACATTTTCTTGAAGACTGGAGACCTGATAGCAGAGGGGGGATAGCGAGCGGCCACGAAAAGGACAAAATACGATAACCTATTATCGATTTCCTCTTCGTGTCGCAGGCAAGGCGCGAAACACATGTGGTCCGTAAAACGCCAGAATTTAAACCCTGAAGCCATTTACGAAGGCACATGTGGATTTGGCATTCCGTCAAGCAGCTATGCGAGTCGTTTGGGGGTGAACGACAGAAGTCGAATCAGGCAGAGAGGATGATTCGAGTCGCGGACTTGGAAATCAAGCGACGTCGCACGTGACGTCGCATGTGATGTCGTACGTAACGTCGCACGTACCACGACGAGAGGATGCACCGGTGCGCGGCAACATCCGCGTCGCCCGCTCTCAGCGTCACGTCAGCGAACATGCCGCTTTCCAGCAGCTCTTCCAAGCGCCCGTCGCCACGTGGAACATTATCATTGAACGTCATTTTGGCTTCAACAACGTTTCAGCCTGAGGTTGGCGGGCGATCGTCCGACCTCTGGGAAGAAGCTTTGGAGAGTGGGAGGAGGTGTGAGGTGCGGCGTGGAAGCACGTGTGCCTAAGGCGCCTGCCCTAGCTGACTGTGAGGGAGACGCCGCTGCTGGCGATGGCGGCGATAAGGCGCTGGACGATTCTCGCCCATGGACCTAATAAAGCCTGACTGACGCAAGACTAAGACGATGGCGCGATGTCGAGGGGGGCTCGAACCGCTTGTGGTGGTGGTGGTTGAATTGGCCCCTTCCTTTCGCGAAGGATGTGTTGAGCTTTTCCAGGCATCTGCACCGTAGGTATGATGTCGCCATTCGTTACCATGCCGTGAACGACTGTCGTCAAACAGACATCAAGATGTGGCCTCCCGAGTTCTTCGGGCTGGTGATGTTGAGTGTTTCTTTAGAACTGCGAGTTTCCAATAACGCGAACTCGCAAAACTGAGGACGCATCAACTCCTGCAAATTTCGGTGATCGATCCTGCACAGGATCGAAATTTATTTGGATTAGAGGAGGTTCTTTTCAAAATTGGAAGCAAATGCGGGATTTCAGTGCGGTTGCCGATCGATTTTGCAGGATCGATCGCCGATTTTAGCAGGAGTTGACGCGTCCTGAGGCAGCCCGAACCTCCCACCCACAAAAGTCATGTGATCCCCATGCCCAACCTCGATACAGCTAAAAATTGTATATTCGTGCATTTGGGGATTTACAAAGCCAATGCAGCATTGTTTGTAGAAGCACAAGCTATCCAGACACTTTCCTCATAACATAGGGTTGGAGTCACACGTTCAAACACCCTCACTCTCCCCCCCCCCCCACACTGCAACCCCAATGGTCTACGTGTTTCATCATTACGCAATTGAGATACATACGTCCAATTTGAGACGCACCCAAACCCCCCATTTCCCCATCAAATCCAGACCAAAGTAACCCATTACACCCCCCTTCTCGTACATGTACCGTATATACATATGTACATTAGGACGATGCCATGCCACGCAGTACGTCAATCTCTTGAGCATCATATGCATGCCCCCCTCATATTTAACCCTCCAAAAGCTGCACTCCTTCAAATGACCCCGGAAAAAGGGAGACTCGGATCCCAGTCGCAGAGGGGAGAAACCAGCAGGTGGTTGAGGTGTGCTCTGTGCACCTTGCAGCCATGCAGAGCGAGAGAGGTGCGGCGGGAGAGGAAGACTGTGCAGAGGCTAAGATCAGTTGACCCCCGTGACAGTGAGGCTGGGCTCCCAGTCGCAGAGAGGAAAGGCAAGCAGGTGGTTGAGGTGTGCTCTGTCTGTGCACCTTGCAGCCGTGCAGAGCAAGAGAGGTGCGGCGGGAGAGGGCGAGCAGGTGGGAGGAGCCGAGCGCACCAGAGCACAATGGAATCACATGAACATACAGCCACTAATTGACGCCTGTAACAGTGAGGCTAGGGTCCCAGTCGCAGAGGGGGGAGACGAGCAGGTGGTTGAGGTGCGCTCTGTGCACCTTGCAGCCGTGCAGGGAGAGAGAGGTGAGGCGGGAGAGGACGAGCAGGTGGGCGAGACCGTTGCGGGTTACACCTGACCCCGACAGGTTGAGGGTTTCCAGAGAGGTGAGTGCTGCGGGTGTGCAACGAAAAAGGGAGGGGGGGACGGATGGGGGGGTGGGGTTGTTGTGGGAGAAAGAGGGGATTGGACGAGGTCACTAGGTCACGATCAAGAGAGACTCAGACTCCTCGATGTATGGTGAGAGGCATGCGCTGTGGGATGTCAGTAGTGACAGCACCGCTTGCCAGTGCCTAACTACTGCCGTCCGTAATGAGCTGCTTCTGAGAGACATCAATGGATGTTACAATTTTAATTGACGCAGCAGCACACAATAGCTTACTCTACCAACAAAAACTCCATTTCTCTCTACCTGCCAGAGCCTTCACGCCAGCGTCGGTGATGCGCTGGTTCTGAGAGACGTTGAGGGAGGCACCAGTCGAGGCAGCAGCAGCAGCGCACACTGCTCGAGAGAGTTCAACGCATAGCCATTCCCCATCCCACCTGCAAGAGCCTTTCCCCATCCCACCTGCAAGAGCCTTCACGCCGGCATCAGTGATGCGCTGGTTCTGAGAGACGTTCAGGGAGGCCAGTCGAGGCAGTGAGGCCAGCTCCTTAATTCCCTTGTCAGTTAAGCCACCCCCACACACCTCCAGCACCTGAAGCTTCTTGAAGCCTGAGTTGGAGGTACAGGTGGAGCATGGGGAGCATAGGGAGGATAGGGAGGATTGGGAGGATAGGGAGGATAGGGAGGATAGGGAGGATAGGGAGGATAGGGAGGATTGGGAGGATAGGGAGGATAGGGAGGATAGGGAGGATAGGGAGGATAGGGAGGATAGGGAGGATAGGGAGGATAGGGAGGATAGGGAGGATTGGGAGGATAGGGAGGATTGGGAGGATAGGGAGGATAGGGAGGATTGGGAGGATAGGGAGGATTGGGAGGATTGGGAGGATAGGGAGGATTGGGAGGATAGGGAGGATAGGGAGGATAGGGAGGATAGGGAGGATAGGGAGGATAGGGAGGATTGGGAGGATAGGGAGGATTGGGAGGATAGGGAGGATAGGGAGGATTGGGAGGATAGGGAGGATTGTGAGGATTGGGAGGATAGGGAGGATTTGGAGGATAGGGAGGATAGGGAGGATTGGGAGGATAGGGAGGATTGGGAGGATAGGGAGGATAGGGAGGATTGGGAGGATAGGGAGGATTGGGAGGATAGGAGGATGGGGAGCATGGGGAGCATGGGGAGCATGGGGAGCATGGGGAGCATGGGGAGCATGGGGAGCATGGGGAGCATGGGGAGCATGGGGAGCATGGGGAGCATTGGGAGGATCGGATACAGCACTGAAGACACACCATCTCTCTTTCCTTAATCCCCAATCCTTCCACGATTCAACCCTTCCCACAGTACAAGCCAGCTTCGCTGCATCAACTACCCTCCACCACTCCACCTTGCCAGTCCTCCCTCAACCGCAGTCCCCCAACCCCTTCACCCACGCCCCCATCCTTCACAGCGCAGCCTTTGGAGCTGCCATGCCCTCACCGCCCCCCGTCCATTGTAACCGTCCCTGCCATCTGGCCCATCGCCCCCCTACCCCGTTCCCACACCTTCCCTCCTCCCCAACTTACCCTTGACCACTGCCATGCCCTCATCAGTCACCCGCGCTCCAAACAGGTCTAGAGTGGTGAGATTGGTCAGGGCTGTGTGCGGGCCAGACATGACAGAAAATAGAGAGAAAGGAGGGGAAAATGGAGAAAAAAAAGGAGGGGGAAAGGGGTGAGAATTGAAAGGAAGAAGAACAATGCGAATCTGAAACGTTTTTTGCTTGACAGCCGTTTCATCTCAGCTACAAGCGTTTCACCTCACCTGACAGCCGTCTCATCTTACCTGACAGCCGTTTCAGGCCAGCGTCAGTGATGGAGCGAGTGTCGAGTGAGAGAGAGGTGAGGGCGGAGAGATGAGCGATGCTGGTCACACCACTGTCAGTGACGCTGCAGTAGCTCAGGTTGAGAGTGGAAAGACGAGTCATGGCTGTATTGGGAGGGAAGAGGAGAAGGTGGGGAGTGGAGTGGTGGGGAGTGGAGTGGTGGGGAGTGGAGTGGTGGGGAGTGGAGTGGTGGGGAGTGGAGTGGTGGGGAGTGGAGTGGTGGGGAGTGGAGTGGTGGGGAGTGGAGTGGTGGGGAGTGGAGTGGTGGGGAGTGGAGTGGTGGGGAGTGGAGTGGTGGGGAGTGGAGTGGTGGGGAGTGGAGTGGTGGGGAGTGGAGTGGTGGGGAGTGGAGTGGTGGGGAGTGGAGTGGTGGGGAGTGGAGTGGTGGGGAGTGGAGTGGTGGGGAGTGGAGTGGTGGGGAGTGGAGTGGTGGGGAGTGGAGTGGTGGGGAGTGGAGTGGTGGGGAGTGGAGTGGTGGGGAGTGGAGTGGTGGGGAGTGGAGTGGTGGGGAGTGGAGTGGTGGGGAGTGGAGTGGTGGGGAGTGGAGTGGTGGGGAGTGGAGTGGTGGGGAGTGGAGTGGTGGGGAGTGGAGTGGTGGGGAGTGGAGTGGTGGGGAGTGGAGTGGTGGGGAGTGGAGTGGTGGGGAGTGGAGTGGGGAGTGGAGTGGAGTGGTGGGGAGTGGAGTGGTGGGGAGTGGAGTGGTGGGGAGTGGAGTGGTGGGAGTGGAGTGGTGGGAGTGGAGTGGTGGGGAGTGGCTGGTGGGGAGTGGAGTGGTGGGGGGGAGTGGAGTGGTGGGGAGTGGAGTGGTGGGGAGTGGAGTGGTGGGGGAGTGGAGTGGTGGGGAGTGGAGTGGTGGGGAGTGGAGTGGTGGGGAGTGGAGGGTGGTGGTTGGAGTGGTGGAGTGGAAGTGGTGGGGGGAGTGGAGTGGTGGGAGTGGAGTGGTGGGGAGTGGAGTGGTGGGGCGTGGAGGAGTGGTGGGGAGTGGAGTGGTGGGGAGTGGAGTGGTGGGGAGTGGGAGTGGGGGGAGTGGAGTGGTGGGGAGTGGGAGTGGGTGGGGGGAGTGAGTGTGGGGGAGTGGAGTGGTGGGGAGTGGAGTGGTGGGGAGTGGAGTGGTGGGGAGTGGAGTGGTGGGGCGTGGGTGGTGGGAGTGGAGTGGGTGGGGGATGGAGTGGTGGGGAGTGGAGTGGTGGGGCGTGGAGTGGTGGGGAGTGGAGTGGTGGGGAGTGGAGTGGTGGGGAGTGGAGTGGTGGGGAGTGGAGTGGTGGGAGTGGAGTGGTGGGGAGTGGAGTGGTGGGGAGTGGAGTGTGGGGAGTGGAGTGTGGGGTGGGGAGTGGAGTGGTGGGGAGTGGAGTGGTGGGGGAGTGGAGTGGTGGGGAGTGGAGTGGTGGGGAGTGGAGTGGTGGGGTGGAGTGGTGGGGAGTGGGTGGTGGGGAGTGGAGTGGTGGGGAGTGGAGTGGTGGGGAGTGGTGGGTGGGGAGTGGAGTGGTGGGGAGTGAGTGGTGGTGGGGAGTGGTGGTGGTGGGGAGTGGAGTGGTGGGGCGTGGAGTGGTGGGGAGTGGAGTGGTGGGGAGTGGAGTGGTGGGGAGTGGCGGAGTGGTGGGGAGTGGAGTGGTGGGGAGTGGAGTGGTGGGGAGTGGAGGTGGGGGGAGTGGAGTGGTGGGGAGTGGAGTGGTGGGGGGAGTGGAGTGGTGGGGAGTGGCGTGGTGGGGAGTGGAGTGGTGGGGAGTGGAGTGGTGGGGCGTGGAGTGGTGGGGAGTGGAGTGGTGGGGAGTGGAGTGGTGGGGAGTGTGAAGAGTGCTATCCAAACCACCGCCACTGACGTTGCAGTAGCAGAGCGTGGAGGGTGGAGAGACGAGTCATGGCTGTAGGGAAGGAGGGGAGGTGAGAGAGGTGGAGGGGGGAGAGGTGGACAGACAATGTCAGATGCAAGAGCATTTAGGCTTGAAAGCAGTACAGCAAGGTCTTAACGAGGGGGGAGGAGAGAGGAAGCGCGGAAGCAGGGAGGTAGGAGCGGAAGAGGAAGACGGTTGAGGTGGGGGGAGAAGGGGAGTCTCCCAAACCGCTTATCAGAGACGCTGCAAAATCCTGCATCCCCCACTGTGGAGTCTGACCGATCAAGGCTCATGAGGTGGTCAGACGTGGAGGGAAGGGAACGGAGTCTGTGGAGCCTGACCGAATCAAGGGTGTGAGAGGAGGGAAGGGAACGGAGCGTGGGATTACCACCCACTTCTTACCTGAGAAGCTGCGAATCCCTGCACCCCCAAAGTGGAGTCCGACACATCAAGGCTCTCGAAGGCGGTGAGACGTGAGAGTGGTACAGAAATGCCTTGAGGAGGGGGAGGGCTAACAGAAGGCATGCGTGCCGCAAGGGCTTTGACTTACCAGAGACGCTGCGAATTCCTGCATCCCCCACTGTGGAGTCCGATAGATCAAGGCTCTCCAGGGCAGTCAGACCTGTGAGGAATCATATAGCAGAGTTGCAATGAAAGGGAATGGGGGACTTATGAGGGGGATTTCCAATTTTCGGGCAGGTTTGTGAGTGATACGGAAACTTTCGAACTTGTAAATAGAAAGGAGAGAGAGAGAAAAAAAAACAAAAACAACGGATGTGTTACCTGCAAGCTGGTGGCAACTTGTCTTACCTGCAAGCTGGTACCAACATGTCTTACCTGCAAGCTGGTGGCAACTTGTCTTACCCGCAAGCTGGTACCAACATGTCTTACCTGCAAGCTGGTACCAACTTGTCTTACCTGCAAGCTCTGCCATAGCGAGATCGTTGACCCGTGATGAGTCGAGGTTGAGGTGGCGGAGAGATCGCAACGCTGCAGGGCAGGGGAGGGGAGGGGAGGGAGGGGAGGGGAGGGGAGGGGGAGGAGGGGAGGGGAGGGGAGGGGAGGGAGGGGGGGTGGGGAGGGGAGGGAGGGGAGGGGTGGGGGGGTGGGAGGGAGGGGTGGGGAGGGGAGGGAGGGGAGGGGTGGGAGGGGAGGGGCGGGAGGGGTGGGGAGGGGTGGGGAGGTGGGGAGGGGTGGGGATAGGCGGGCGAGCAGCAGTTTATGTTGCCTCCAGAAGCAGAAGCAGAAGCAGAAGCAGAAGCAGAAGCAGAAGCAGAAGCAGAAGCAGAAGTTCACCGCGCAGCACTGACGAGTAGCAGCGGTAAGGACGGACATGGGAGGGAGGAGGGGGGTTGGGTTGCTTGGAAATGCTGTGGGACAAGCAGGCAGAGTGGGAATGGCTGTGTGACGGAGGAAGGAGCTGATGCAGCAAGTGTGGTGAATGAAGGGTTTGGTAGGGCGCGGCGTGTGATACATGAAAAGATGGGAGTTGAGAGAAAAAGTGTGATACGAGGACAGATGGGAGGCGTACAGGAGATGAAGGAAGGAGCACTCTGCATGCTTCTGTTGCGCGGCGTGTCGATGACGCCAAAGCGGGTGTAGGCCAGGTTGAGCGACGTGAGACATGCGAGAGCTGTTGTGAGGGAGGCAGAAGGGGGTGGACGGTAGAGAGGAACAATGGGGTAAAAGGTTAGGCCAGTGTAGGCCAGATCAAGCGATGTTAGACGTGTGAGAGTTGGTGCATGGGAGGGAGGGTTGAAAAAGGAAGGGCGAAGGGGGCAGGGCGAACAAGACAGGGTAGAGGGAAGAAACTAAAACGGACAGTGCAACGAGAGTAAAGAGATAAGTGGCGAGCATAAGTGGGGGGGTGGGGGGTGGTTGCGGTGGGGGGGGACGGGGGGGTGTGGTATGAGGGGGGAAAGGGGGCGGGGGGGGCGGGTGTTCGGATGATGCCAAAGCAGGTTTAGGAGTTTGAGACATGTGAATTGCGTGAGAGCTGGAGGAAGATGGGAGGAAAGAGGGGGAGGAAGGAAGCACCTTGCAGGTGCTTGAGGCCCATGTTAGTGAGCAGTGCACACCGCTCCGTGTCTCCCCCCCCCCAGACCCTCTCTGTCTCCCCCCTCCCCTCCGCCTTCCCCTCAACCCCATTGTCTTCCCACATCCCGCCCCTTCTCTGCCCCACCTTTCAGGTGCTTAAAGCCCATGTAAGTGAGCAGCGCACACCATTCCACGTTTTTCCCCCCATCCCCCGTCCCCCCAATCCCCTCCCCCCGCTCCTCCCGTCCGGCACCCCTTAACCTCCCCGTCCCCTCCATCCCCCCCCCTCCTCCCGTCCCCACAACCCCCCCCCCCTCTCCACCCCACCCCCCGCTTTCCCCCCTTCCCTGCCCCACCTTGCAGGTTCTTCAGGCCCGTGTTAGTGAGCAGCGCACATCACTCCACGCTCCCCCCCATCCCCATTCCCCGATCCCCCAATCCTCACCCTCCCCTTCCGGCCTCCCTTCCCCTTCCCTGCCCCACCTTGCAGGTGCTTCAGGCCTGTGTTAGTGAGCAACGCACACCACTCCACGTTGAGCTCAGTCAGCCCGTGAACACCTGACACGTGGCACACACAGGAGAGTGAGAGGAAAGTGGAACTGTTGGCGAGGGGAGACCTGACGAGAAAAAAGGGAAACAATGAATGACATGCACGGGAGAGGGGATAAGGGAGAAAGGCTTGCTGAAGATGAGGGAAATCGGTCACTGTAGAGGTGTAGAAGAAGCACTTTGGTCACTGAAGAGGTGTAGAAGCAGGCCGTGTCGTGTCAGTCACACGTTGGCAACCAAATGACCAAAACGATCAGTGGGGATGAAGGGCAGAGGCATATTCACACTCGAAATGGAAGAGAAAGACTTACCCGAGATGAGAGAGAAGGCAGGGTCTGTCACATGCTGACAGCCAGCCATGCTGAGACTGGTGAGGGAGGAGAGAGCTGCAGGTGCGAATGTGACGGGATGGGGGGGTGATTGGAGGGGAGGGGGCATGTGGAGGGGAGGGGGTATATGGAGGGGAGGGGGTATATATGGAGGTATGAATAATATTTCTCGGACAGGAGAATGGTGAGGGAGGGGAGAGCTGCAAGTGCACATGTGTTGGAATGGGAGAGGGTGTTTCGAGAGAGAACGGGAAAAAAATTGGCAACTAAAAAAAAGAACGACAAGGGAGGAGAGAGCTGAAGTTACATGTGATGGGATGGGGCGAGAGGAGGGATGAGTTGCGTGGAGGGACGGAGCGGGGGAGGAGGGAGGGATGGACCGAGAGGGAGGATGGGCGAGTAGGGTGGGATGGATGAGTGGGTTGGGATGAACGAGTGGGTTGGGATGGGCGAGTGGGGTGGGATGGGCGAGTGGGGTGGGATGGGCGAGTGGGGGGACGGGCGAGTGGAGCAATGGAAAATAATTTCTGGGGTGCCTGACAGTAGATTGGTGAGGAGCAAAGTCTTGCAGATGCAGACGGAATTGGGCAGGTGGCGGGATGGGCGTGAGAAGAGGAAGCAGGGCAGGGCAGGTGGTGTGTTTCCTTAAGGCTACGTGGCTCTGCTACGTGGATTACCTTGGAGCAGAGCCATCAGGAGACTTTTGAGTCGACTCAAAACGAGGTGACTTCTGAGTCGACTCAAAGGTCACCAGGTGGTGTGTTTCCTTAAGGCTACGTGGCTCTGCTACGTGGATTACCTTGGAGCAGAGCCGTCAGGCCCACGTCTGTAATCTTGCAGCGGGAGACGTTTAGGGAGTGCAGCGAGGAGAGGCAGGCTATGTCTGCCATGTCGTCATTGTCCAGGGACGTGCACCAGCCCACGTTCAAGATCCGAAGAGAAGAAAGTCCTGTGAGGGACGGATAGAAAGGAATGGCAAAGGCAGACTTAGTCGTCTCATCGTCAAGATATGGAGGAGACATTGAGGGATTGCAGCGAGGAGAGGCAGGCTATGCCTGGCTGGTGAGGAAGAGCAAGGAAGGTGAGTCAGTCAAAGTCACTTCCGAGTCAGTCAGAGTCAGTCAGAATCAGTAAGATCCAGTCGAATTTCAGAGAGGCTGTACCTGTGAGGTGGCGCATGCCCCTTTTGAGCAGGCCAGTGAGGCAGGTAGATTGGCCACGTGCGTGAGAGCAGCAGCAGGTGTTTCAGTCAACTCAGTCAGATATCACACAGCGGACGTACCTGTAAGGTGGCGCATCCCCCCCTTTAGCAATCCGCACATCTCCAGGTTCAGGCGGGTGAGGGAGGGTAGATTGGCCACGTGCGAGAGAGCAGCAGCAGAGAGGCGGTTGCAGCCACGAGTGCTGAGAGAGGTGAGGTGGTGGCAGGCTGAACAGGGACAAGAGGAGACGAGATGGGTAGAGAGACATAGGGAGAGAGAACCGCAGCGAGACTTCGCATTAGATTGCAAAAGGATGAACCGTATATGTGTGAGAGAAGCAGCAGACAGGCAGTTGCAGGCACGTGTACTAAGAGAGGCGAGGCGGTGGCAGGCTGGTAAATGTGTGTGCTGGAGAAGGGAAGGGAGGAAAGGGGGTTTGGGAGGAGGGCGGAAGGGGAGGAGGGTACCGGGGTGAAGACATAGATAGAAATGGTATGAGCTGTCAACAGAGAATATTTCACAGTGCACTGCAACTAATTACCAGCATGCTTCAGGTGGTTACCAGCATGGTCCATGTGGTTGCCAGCATGGTTCAGGTGGTTACCAGCAAGGGGAGCCAGGGCTTCGTCAGTGATCTGGATGCACCAATCAAGGCACAGGGAGCGAAGCTGGGAAGCATGCAGCGGCGAGCCAGCTGTAGCCAGCGATACAACCTCGGTTGTAGCAGCAGCTGCAGCTGCTGCTGTTGCCGCAACTGTGGCTGTAGCAGCAGCTGTAGCTGATGCTCCCCCCCCCCTCTGCCGTTTTCTGCTGCAAAAGGCATCCCCATGCCTCTCCCTCTCCATCCTCGTCGCTAGCAGACGCATGCGAATCTCACTCTCCCTTAAATTCCTCCTCTCCTCACAATCCCTCCTCTCCCTTTCATCCCGCTCTTCCCTCTCTCTCCTTTCTTCATTGTCGTCCTCTCCAACCCTCCTCTCCTCCCTCTCTTCTCCCTCCTCTTCCTCCCCAAGACTCAACTCCAAAAACACTCCTTCCGATGAACTTCCGTCTGACAGATCTTCTTGGGATCTACTGCTGGAAGCGGGGCTGCTAGAAACGGGGCTGCTTGTAAGGCGGATGTTGGACAGTGTGGGGGAGGACAGGCTTCGGCCTTGGGGCGTGGCTAGACCCATAGGGGGGGAGGATGGGGAGGCTGAGAGCGGGGAGGGCGATGGAGCAACGAGTGTGGAGGTTGGGGTGGAGGAGAGAGGGTGGGACGAGGAGGATGGGAGGGGGGAGAGTGGAGGGAAGGGTAATGGCTACGGAGGCGGGGGTGTGAGAGGACGGAGAGAGAGGAGTGCGGGGAGAGGCGAGAGGGGAGGTGAGGGGAGAGCAGAAGGGAGGGGTGGTGGTGCTGTCGTGGCCATTGCAGGTGCTGGCGTCACAACAAGGAGTAACGCCGCTAACAGCAGCGGCAGTGTGCAGCACCATTACTGCCAGCAACACTTGTGGAAAGAGAGGTCGATGGAGAGCAGTGTGGGCTGCGTGAGGGGGGTGACAGCAGCTCCAGCCAGCGATCGTTGAGGTTGGGGTAATGCGCCAATGGCAGGGACTGTTGGGGAAGGGATAGGGGTTTGGATTGGGGAAGGAAGGGGCAAAGAAGCAAAGGAGAGGTCAATGGAGAGCAGTGTGGGCGCGTGAGGTGACAGCAGCTCCAGCCAGCGATCGTTGAGGTTGGGGTAATGCGCCAATGGCAGGGACTGTTGGGGAAGGGATAGGGGTTGGGATTGGGGGGGAAGGGGCAAAGAAGCAAAGGAGAGGTCAATGGAGAGCAGTGTGGGCGCGACTGCAGCACAGAACTTGAAATGAGAGGAAAGTTTGTCAAGGTGGCGAGTAAGGCTCACCCTCGAGGAGTGGCGCGGGCAGTGCTTGGAGGAGCGGCAGGGAGAGCTCCCTGACGTGCACGAGCACGTGGAGCAGCGACTGCAGCACGTGTGGGGAGAGAGAGCACGAGCTTGGATGGCGGGTAGCTTGCCTGCACGCAGCAGAAAACAGAACACGGAGAAGGGAGGCGACGGAGGGAGGAGAAGGGGGAGGAGGGCGAGAGGGAACGGAAGGTGGAGATGGATGGCTGATCGGTTGATTGGAGGTCAAGAAAATGGATAAGGTAAACAAAAGTCGAAAAATGGTGGAACTCGTCTCACAAAGTGCTTGCAGGTTTGAGATAGAGAAGGGGAGAGAGAGGGAGAAAAGGAAAGAGGTGAGCTCATGAAATGGAGAAGGAAGGGTATGAAGGAGTGAAGAAGTTGCTTACTGGTCGGCGAATCAAATCACGGCAGACTGCCAGCGTGGCAAGCTCCTCAAGTGACAGCCTGGCCATGCCAGCTGGCCACCGCCCCCCACCGCACGCCTCGCCGTGCCATTGCTGCCGCCACCGCTGCTGCTGCCGCTGGCGCCACCAGTGCCACTGCTGCTGCAATTGGTACTGCTCCCGCTGATGATGACGGTGCTGCATCTGCCCCCACCACCACCACTCCTTACGACCGCCATCCCTCCTGCTCCAGTACCACGCTTCTCGCCCTCCGCAGCTGCTGCTGCCTATGCGCTGCTGCTCCTGCAGCTGACTATCCCACTGCTGCTGCTTCTGCTTCTGCTGCTGCTGCTGCTGTTGCTGTTGCTGCTGCTCTTCTGGTGGTTCCCAGCGCCCGGAGAGGAAAGCAAGCGCGTAGCAGCAGTGGCAGCAGCAGCACGAGCACAGCGGCTGGTGAACGGGTCGCTGCTAGCGAGCCCTCCGCGGCTGGTCGTTAAAGCCGTCGTGACAGCAGCAGCAGAAGCAGCTGCAGTAGTTGCTGCAGTAGTAGAATCTGGGTACGAACGGGCGACTGCTGTAGTGGCAGCAACAACACTGGCAACAGCCGCTGTTGCAGAAGCAGAAGCACAGAAGGAGTAGCAGCAGTAGCAGGACCCAAACGATCACCAGAAGTTATACTGTCAGCAACAACAGCAGCAGCACCACTGCCACGCCACCACCACCACCACCACCACCACCATCACCATCACCATCATCATCACCATCGACAGTTACGTTCGCATCTAGCCACATAACCACGTTTGCTCCCCTCTCCTCGCTCTCGTGCCCCTGCTCGCCCTCACCCCTGGGGATTCCAGCAGGTGACGCCGTCACTGCGCATCCCGCCTCCATCATTCCCTTGCTGCTGATGGTTACCCACGCTGCCCGCTGCTGCTCGTGCTTGTGCTGCGGATGGTAAACATGCTGCCGTCACTGATGGTGGTGCCGCTGCTCGAGCTGCGGCCGAGGCTGCCACTGCCGAGCCTGCTGCTGCCGAGACTGCTGCTGCGAGACTGCGGCTGCCGCAATTCTCGGTGCTACCTCTGTTTCCACTAGCAACCCTGGCCTGGCTGTTCGCGCTGCCCATTCTCGCCCCTGACAAAGACCGTTGGCTCAGCCTGCCAAAAAACCGTTACAGAGAGAGAGAGAGAGAGAGAGAGAGAGAGAGAGAGAGAGAGAGAGAGAGAGAGAGAGAGAGAGAGAGAGAGAGAGAGAGAGAGAGAGAGAGAGAGAGAGAGAGAGAGAGAGAGAGAGAGAGAGAGAGAGAGAGAGAGAGAGGGAGAGAGAGAGAGAGAGAGAGAGAGAGGGAGAGAGAGAGAGAGAGAGAGAGAGCGAGAGAGAGAGAGAGATAGAGAGAGAGAGAGAGAGAGGGAGAGAGAGAGAGAGAGAGAGAGAGAGGGAGAGAGAGAGAGAGAGAGAGAGAAAGAAAAAAGAGAGGAAAGAGAGAGAACAAACAAACAAACAAAGACGGGGGATGAGGGACGACGAGAGAATGGGTGAGAAAGTAGGGAAAGAAAGTGGTGCAAGATATACTAGTTAGGAAGTGGTGAGAGATAGGGCGCATCTCACCAGTTTTAAGGATGGAGAACCAACGGCAACTCACATGGCAACGGGAATCGACGCCGTCGACCAAAAGAGCCCCTCGCCGGACTCGTCCCCATCGCGAGCATCGTCAGCAACGTTCCAATCCACGTGGACATCCTTTCCGTCGCAGTGGAACCGCGGCCCCTGGCAGTGCTGGTGGCAGTGGTGCAGGTTCCGCCGCTCGCTCGCAAATCTGCCCTCCGCGCTCATCCTCCCCCGAATGGAGCCTCCGTCCATCGCTCCGCCTCCGCCGCCGCCGCCGGCGCTGGAGTTGCCGCCGTAGCTGCCGGAGCTGGAGCGGAGTCGACGAGAACACGCGCCGCCCATCGCGTCAACGTGCTTCGGTTCTGGTTCCGTGCTCTTGACCTTCCTTTTTTCCCTGTCTCCGTTTCACGTCCCTTTCCCTCGTCCTTCTGGTGTGGCCTAAACGACCTCAAAACGCTTTGGAAGATTCGAAAGCTTCGAGCGCTCCAAAGGATTTAACAGCTTCGAGAGTCTCCTTCACGAAAGCGCGCCTCTGTTCACCGGACAACAACTTCAGCTCCCGCTTGCCGGCGGACGAAGAAACACGAGCCGGTTGACTGAGGACAGATGAGCCATTGCTGTATCCCACGCGGTCACCGTAAAGTTTATGATATACAATGGTATTCGCGACGAAAGCACTTCCGATAGAATGACTCCAGATAGAGTGGCTTGAGACGAAACAGCGGCAGATGAAACGGCGGATGTGTGAAGGCACATCCCCTCGAAGCACGAATAAACGACACTAGAATGGGCGCAAGAGAGCGTGACAAATGAACCTAATGAGATTCATGAACGAGAGAGCCCGAAGAGCGATAGGAATTCGTAAATGTGAACACCTCAAATGAGGGGTTAGATGCCGCTAGTGCAAGCACTGCAGGGTCGAGCCAGAGGAGCTATGAGTATCCCACCTTGGCTTGGTGGGGCGACAAGACATGCTTTCTTGCCACTTCCAGCTGGGGCGTATCCGCGACCCTAGGTTCCGTGCCCTCTAACCCAGTCGTGATACACTCACATTCAGAGCATTGCACAAAAGCAATCCCCAATTCACTCCCCCCCCCAGCATGACTCCCTTGCTCGCTCTGTGAGGAGGGTTGGGGGGGCTGAACTGATGTTGAGGGGGTGTAGTGGCCACTTCGTTGCTCCCACTCCATCTGCCCCGAAGAAAATTACGCCAATGAGAGTGCAGACGGCCATGCTCAAACAGTGCTGAAATTCCCAAGCAGCAGCCAAAAGCATTTTCTTTCGGCTGCCCGGATCAGCCGTTATGAAAGATCTTCAAGGACATGACGCTCTGCCATGCGGCTTTTCAGCTGAGGTGGAGGTCCGAGCCGAGGCGCCTCTCTGACGCTGAACCCATCATCCACTCAAACCAGACCGCCTCTCACCTGGATCAATTTGATTGGCTAAAAGATGCATGATGGACGCAACTTGACCGTGGATGCGGTTGCTTCTGCGTCAGGCTGAGGTGGCGTGGCATGTGCTGCTGTAGATTTGGCCTGTGTACCCACATAGGCAGATGCTCATGATAGTGTACAGTGAATTCGTTTTTTTCACCTGTTAGTGTCGATCTCTGCAAAACATAAGAGGCCGTAATACTGTACCATAGACCAGATTTGCAACAGGTGAGCTTAGGAGCCTTGTCATTTCCAGATACACTAAAGCAGCCACAATCCGTAAGCTAAAGATATACCGTATGCTCCTTGATATATCAAGAAGGTGCCCTAGCTGAACATGTCCTACCACATTCTGTACAACCTGCGAAACACAAAATCGGCATTCAATGCAAGGGAACACGAGGGAACATGAGATTGAAAGGCTAAGGAGCGTTTCTGGTACACATGCAGTGTGTAATGAGTGTGCATACGACTGCTCTTGCTGTGTCATACATGCCGCTGTGCACATGTGCGTGAACATGTGTGCGGGTGTCAGAAGAGGAAGCGAGAGTGGAGCAGCAGGGATGGAGAAAGTAGAGTAGAGCAGGGAGAGAGCTCACCAGGGAATCAGTAACCTGCAGCAGACGTCTCATCTCATGTATACTGGCCGGAGGAGTAACTTCGTTGTGTTGCACCAGGGTCATCAGTGGTCGCATCAAGAGCTGTTAGCCCGTTTGGCTTGACCCCTATAAGAGCCTCCCCATCATACTCCACAACATTCTCCCAGTTCTCGTACGCAACCTTGACCAGCTTATCCACATAAATCTGCATAAAAAATCACAGGGTTCAGACAAGAAAGCGACTTAGACCCTGAAATCAATGCACCAGAAGCTGCCATTTCGCCATTGCTGTGAATGTCTTAGTTGTTTACAAATATATAGTTGATTCTTCATTTTCCAACGATAAAATATGTTTGCTGCATAAGCCTGCAGCAGAAAAATGGAGTCAGTATAATGGCAAGAGTTTTTACCTTCTCACTCTCGGAAAGAAGATCCACAGACATGTACTGGCTGTCTGCAATGAGGCCCATGAGCTGGAAGATGTTGTTGAAGATGACGCCAATGTTCTGCTTGTCATCCGCATAATACACATGCAGCTTGCCGTTCAGCACACACGTCTTTGCGTGCTCCACTGTGTTCTCCCACATTTTGTTTGACATGCCCGATCCAAGAATCTGGAAAACGAGAAGGACAGATCAGATCCAGGGACGTACATCAAAGTTACGTCAACATGTAAGAGGTTTCCAAGCAAGAATAAAACACTTACATTTCGTAGTTTTTGTGGGTCCATGACAACGAGCCGTAGGAAATCCTCTACTGTGAAAATTCCAGCCTGATTCAAGCGCTTGTGGAAGGCTCCATCCTTGCCTATGCGATCCAACCGCCACACTTCGTCTGTCAAAGCAGGTGGGTAGTGCTTCTTGTACACTGTTGCACAGACAGGACGAGAAAGAAAGCAGAAATCCCCATCAGCAAACTAGTACTTTAACCAAGATAAGAGCAGCAGAATCATTCCACTGTAATTGCAAGGAACGGACCATTAAACCACAGCCGACCAAAGAAGCACATGAAACCTGGCAGCAACTCACATTCTCCACGGTGATCCTTCACTGTGAACGCCTCTGTCTTCCCTTCTCGTACCCTGCTCTCCCCAACCTGGCCTGGCGACACTCTCACTCCCAGCCTAAACTTGCGACTCCGGATCCAACTCGAGTTGTCTGTAAACGTGATCTCGCCCATGACCCCAAGCCCGTCCTTGAGAACTACAAATGTCTCGCCAGTCAAAAGCGGCCTTTTACCATCTCTCTCTTTCACCAAAAACTGGTCAAATTCTCCCTGCACAAAACAGCAGGCTGTTCAGTCTGCGACTACAGGAAGGGCCGAAACTCAGAACCAAAACATTTCGAAGAAAATTGAAGAACAAGGGCGGGCAGCGAAATCCTTACTGGTAGCCAATCATCCTCATCGTCTCTGCTGAAATCACCTTCAAGCACCACAACTTCAAGCTTCAGATTGGCCTCTGGTCCTGTGGTAACCACAGCACCTGTGTCTCCGTCTTGAAGAAACACTCGGATTGGCTCATTCCCTTCGCCCTCCACCTTCCCTCCAGTGAACAAAGGAAGTGCCAACTTGTTGCGGAATTGTAGCCGCAGGTCACGCTTGACGCCATTGGCTGATAGTCGTTTAGGAGCTTCGAGACTGCTGCAACATGGGGGAAAGGAACAGAGGAATCAAGATTCAGCATAAACTGCGAGGTTTTTTTTAAGCTAAAGGGAGACAGAAACCAGGAAGCGACCACTCCATGAGAGGTTCCTTAGGCTCAGCGCAACAATTCGCTTGGTATCTCATAGCTGGTTCCATCAATGCGAATACTATCACAGTACTGCAACTACAAATTAGCGCTCCTCGTTACTATCCAACAATCCATCCGAACTTGAACAAACAAAAACGTCGCCTTACCTCCGTTCTTACAATCGGTCGCAGACGAACCCTTCCCTTCTCACGCTAAACATATCACCAGCGAGAGAAACTCATTGCCGAAAAAAAACTTTGAGCCAAGGTAAGGTCTAGTACTGACGATTTCGTGTCTCTGGGCTAATGAGCTATCGACAAAAAGTGACCGATCCCCTTACAGTGAGTAAAATCAAGGATCATCTGAACCTTGCAAGCTTGTGTTAGACCATCTCAAACTTCACCTGTGTTTACTGTCGCCAAGAACCTACCGTAAAGGCGGATTAGAGCTGGATGACGGCTGGTAGGTTGCAAACGCTTTTTGAATTTCTTCAGATACCTGAAAAACAAATCGACTTGTTAACACGTCGCGATAATAATCGAAGAGAAATGATGCGTCTTGTACGAGCGAGCCTTGCCACATACCACGCGTCGAAGCAGCGGCTCCAAAACGGTGCACAACTTCGCCAAATTGTCCATCTTAACCGTCTCCACAACGACACTGGAGAAATAACATAAGCGCGAGGTTGTTAGTCTTACGAAGAAACGACGACGCGACGACACGAGACACGTCGCGAAACAACCAGCGCAGCAGCGACCTACTTAGCTATCGTTGGTCCTCGATGCCTTTTTTCGGGAGATTGACTTTCCCCGTTCCCTTCTTCAAAAGGTCTTTTCTCCCCATACCGTTGTTCAAGATCCATGCTCTGGCGACAGCTGCGTTGTTCAAATAATCTACAGGCCAACATTGCGCAGCGACAGAAAATTAGTCCGGCTTAGGCGCACATGCAAATTCAGTAACTGATCGGATATTTTTGCTCACCGGCTCGTACTCGATGAAAAAAGCGGTTCGAACAGGCCACTGGTTGAAAAAGAGGGTGCCCCGTGTGCTTGCCAAGCTGACTGAGACCGCACTTCACAGAAATAACAAATGCACGGAAGAATCGAGGAAGCAGAAAGAAACGAACAGAACCGTGGAAGGGGAAAGGAAAGGGGTGGAAAGGAAAGGGGTGGGAAGGAAAGGGGTGGGTGGGGAGCAGACAGGGGCATGGAACTGTTGGTGGGGAAGTGGAGTGAGGGGATGGGGAGGGTGTTGTGGGGGAGGGGGCTTCGGGAAAAATGGGGAAGGAACGGGGAGGGGTGGGGGAAAGAAGAGGCACATGGGCGGAATGGGTGTGTAGCGCGGTCACGAGTTCCGCGCGGACGAGGGCTCGTTTGATTTGTTGGATCAGGGTGGCGGGGTTGGGGTAAGGGGATACAGTACAGTGGGCGGGAGGGACAGCGGGACTGCTTGGTTTTGGGAGTTCCGAGCAAGCGGGGAATCAGGTTGGCCGGGGGAAGGGGTTGAGTTCGGTTGGGAATTCGGATAGAGGTTATTTACGGTTTGAGAAGGTTGGGTGGAGTTTCTTAAGTAGCATTCCGCGGTGCTGGTGGATTTCCGTGGCTATGCTGATTTCGTTTTTGCCAGAGGCGTGTGCGGACGGATCCCCCTGACAAGCTGCGGATCAGGAAGAATCGAGGAAGCGCCGATGAGGACAGGAGGGAGGGGGAAACTTCTTCAGGACCGTCGATTTCCCGTTTATTTGCGCCTCTTGCGGATCACGCGACCATGATAGCCTCAGCTCGGTCGGCGGCCCCGCTGGAACCCTCCGTCTAATTAACAAACATGCAATCAACCGTTTTGCACCGTAGATTAAGCAGAAACCATCCAAGTTATCTGAGTGCATGTTGCTGACGTGGAATGCGAGATAGCACTTGGCAAGACGCTGACGGCGAAAGCTTTTCAACCAAGCAGCGCGGGAAGCTTCTGTTGAGCAGTCAGCAGTTGCTAGGACCAGCAAGGTTTCACCGACCATTTGACTCCAAAAGCACTAGCTTGGCTGAAGTTGAACACGTCACGTAACAAGATGATGGAACAAATAACATCTCATATTAAAAACAAGCAGAACACAAAACCTCTTAATTATTCTATTCCTGATCCGGTGCATCCACGACCAACAGTTGCGCGTCGGCCAGTGGAAATGCTACAGGAAGAAACCGAAGCAGAAGCTCAAATGAAGTAAAAGTGATGACAGCTGCTGGAGTGGTTCTGTACAAGTTTGCAACGCATCCTCTATAGAACGTTTGCGCGCCTTCGTACTTGATAATCTGCAGACAATGCATAACATAGAAAGAAGTTGTGAACACAAGAGAGAGATACATGGCACGGACGGGCATGCTTGTGGACGAAGGAGAGTGATGATGAAAAGGCTACGGGGGGTTATGGAGGTGGAGGTGGGTAGGAGACAGGAGAATGAAGTGTAACAAGGGTACGAATAAAGCACCTTTTGGATGCAATCTATGACACCAAGATAGCGGGGCACTGTGCCGTCTGCTCCCGCTGCTGCGTTTAGTCGGCCTTGCTCCTGCAGTCGCGACCGCACGACCTGGCGCATCCCACATTTTGGAACAATGTCACATTGACAGACAAGGGACAACATAGTGCAACATGAAATCTCACGAAAGAGTTAACACAACTACATACGCATGCTTACAAGAGCGCAATCGACTTGCAGTGTACACACAAATAACAACACACACAAACGCACATACCTCATGAGGGTACGTGAGAGTGGAAGCCACGACTTTCGAGGCTGCAGACGCCAGAGCGAGATCGATGGGCGATAGCTTATCGACACTTGTGTTTGCTCTCTCCGCCATGGTCTGCTTGAGGTGCTCGTAGAGGGGGAACTGGATGGCCACGTGGCTCACCCCTGCCAGCGCTGGTACCACCCCACTGGGAAGAGAAGGGGTGTGAGAGAGAGGGAGTGAGTGCGTGGGTGAGACTGGGGGAGCTGGATGGCCATGTGGCTAACTCCTGCTAGTGCCAGCACCACCCCACTGGGAGGAGGGAGAGTGTGCGAGGACGAGAGAGAGGAACAAGGTGGTGGTGAGTGAGAGCAGAGGGGAAGAGGAAAGAGAGTGGGCGGGCAAGATTGCAAGTTGAGCAAATGAAGAGACAGGGAGGGAGGGAGGGAGACAGGGTGAACGCTATCTGTCTGTCTTGATGTGGTTCAGATTCTCACGCATGTTTTTTGAGAATTCTCAGTGTATGCTTTTTGAGAATTCTCACACATGTTTTTTGAGAATTCTCAAAAAGCATACATTGATGTGGTTCAGGTTCTCACACATGCACACACACTCACTCCCTCTTTCCCGCTCTCACTACCTAACTCAATCCATCACTCCCTCCCTCCCTCCACCCCTCATTCACTTTCTCACTCCCTGCAATCCCCTCCTCTCGGAATATTTGCACCAGTGCCGACACCGTGCCCTTGTATGGGAGGCGATGGGGAGCGAGGGCCCACACTCCCTCCCTCCCTCACTCACTCACAACACACGCACGCATATACATACCTGTACAGCCCTGCCACGCCCTCCTCTCGGAATATTTGCACCAGTGCCGACACCGTGCCCTTGTATGGGAGGCGATGGGGAGCGAGGGCCCACACTCCCTCCCTCCCTCCCTCACTCACTCACAACACACGCACGCATATACACACCTGTACAGCCCTGCGACACCCTCCTCTCTGAATATGCGCACCAGTGCCGACACCGTTCCCTTATAGGGCAGGCGGTGGGGGCGAAGGCCCTGGGTCTGGCAGGGATAAGCGGGGGAGGCACGGGGAAAGAGAGAGAATAATGACAGCTTTCAGAGCCTCTGTAGGGAGATGAAGGCCTTGCGCCCTTGTTTGTAGGGCAGGCGGTGGGGGCGCAGACCCTGGGTCTGGCAGGAGGGAAACGGGGGAAAGGAGATGGGGCAAGAAGAAGAGCAGTCAACGTTTAAAGCCCTTTTAAGCAGGCGGTGGGGGCGAAGACCCTGGGTCTGGCAAGAATGAGAAGCGGGGGGCATGGGGAAGGCATGGGGGAGGCATGGGGGAGGCATGGGAGAGGCATGGGGGAGGCATGGGGGAGGCATGGGGAAGGCATGGGGGAGGCATTAGAGAAGCATGGGATAGGCATGGGAGAGGCATGGGAGAGGCATGGGAGAGGCATGGGAGCGGCATGGGAGAGGCATGGGAGAGGCATGGGGGAGGCATACTCCCTGCAAGAAGCACTTTGCCTTTGTTTCTCTGGCACTGTGCAAGCAGCCTTGGTAAACGTGTTATCATCTCTCTCCCCCCCCCAGCCCTCTCTCTCCCACCAATTCTCCCCCCACCCACCTGCAGGCGGGTTTTGACGACCCAGAGGGGGTTGGTGACAATGGCAGTGGCGGCACCGGCACCCGCTGCTGCTGTAACGCTGGTGAGGAGAGGCGGCGGGGGAGGGGAAGAGGGGGGGAAGGAGACTCCAGTGCAGTCCCCTGTACAGCGCACTTCCGTGCAGCTAACACCAGAGGTGCTGCCAGTGCTGCTGTTGCTGGTACTACCAGTGCAGCCCTCCCCTGTGCATCCCCTCCCTGTGCTGCTGCTGCTGCTGCTGGTGCTGCTGCCGGGGAAATGGGAGTCGGGTGCACTGAGCATCTTCTTCAGATGGTCGTACACTGAAAAGTACACCTGTGGGTGGGGAGGCAGGCATGCATGGGGCACAAAGCGAGGGGTGCATGTGGCATGAGGATGGGCATGTCTATTCCTCCTCGCTCTGAGCAGCTTCTTCAGCTGGTCGTACACTGAAAAGTACACCTGTGGGTGGGGAGGGGCAGGCATGGGCCATTGGTGGGAGAGGGATGCAGACAGAAAGCAGCGCCTATGATATGGGATGGGGGCAAGAGATGGGGCAATCAATCCACATGTTAGCCTGTGCACGCGAGCACGGATGGGCGTGCAGTCAACAGGGGCATGCCCGTGGCTTGTTGCACCGAGCATCTACTTTACTTGGTCGTACACTGAAAAGTACACCTGTAGGGTGTTGGGATGCGGGTAAGTCACACGTCAGCCATACGTCAGCCACATGCTGCACATGGATGTGACATGGGTTGCATGTGGCATGGAATGCATGGGCCATGCGGTGCATGTGGCATAAAGCTCACAACAAAACACAAAGAAACGAGCACGCTAAAAGAGGGAATTTCGTTACTTAAAGGGCCCGACACTACGAGGCCATAGGCTAGAAGGGCACATGTAATTCCCTTGCCGAAGGCACTTTGAGAATGCTCAAACATGAATGTCGCCCGAACACTTTAAGTGGCCTCAATAGTGCCCATGTGCCACTCCGTCGCTTCTTCTCCCCCCCACCTCCTACCACCTCCTACCACCTCCTACCACCTCCTACCACCTCCTACCACCTCCTACCACCTCCTACCACCTCCTACCACCTCCTACCACCTCCTACCACCTCCTACCACCTCCTACCACCTCCTACCACCTCCTACCACCTCCTTTGAACGCAATTCCCCTGCTGTACTCTCCCCTTCTCCCCCTTCTCTTTCGCCCTTTCTCCTGTCTCCCCACCTCTCTCTACTCTCTGTTAGCGCTCTTGTTGTTCTTCTATATTCCTTCCTTTCTTTCCTTTTCTCCCCTTCCTTGTTACCTTTCCCCTACGCCCTCCTCTCACCCTCGCTTTCCCCCTCCCCCCACGCGCCTTCCTTACCGCCAATATTGGAAGGAGCGCCACGACGGAGGGACACAGCCCCCTGTACAGTCCGCGGATGCCCTCCTCCCCTTACCTTCCCCCTTCCCCATTCCCCCCCTCCCCCTCTCCCCCCCCACGCGCCCTCCTTACCGCCCAGTTCGGCAGCAGCGCCACGACGGAGGGGCAGAGCCCCCTGTACAGTCCGCGGATGCCCTCCTCCCGCCAGATGGCGCGCAGAGTCGTCGCAATCACCCCCGCCTTTGCGCCCCCCCCCTTCCCCGCGCGCGCATGCACCCCTGCTGCGCCCGCCCCGCTCCCCGCTGCATTTCCCCGAGGGGGAAGCGGAGGCCCGGGGGAGTGCGGGGAGCCAGGGGGGCGGGAATGCGGGCCTCCGGACGTGGCGCAGGCGGAGGCTTCGTGTCCCGCGCCCGCTTGCCTGCCTATCCCTGCGCGCGCAATAGACAGCCCGTTTCTTGCAGCGAGGCTGCTCATAACGGGGACAGATGCGGCGGAGGAACGAGGCCCCCATGACTGAAGAGAGGGGGAGGCGGGATTGGCGGAGCTGCAGGGGGGAACCGTCGCTTGCGCGTGCGAGGAGGGGGATGGGGAAGCGGAAGCGCCAGGGCCCAGGTTACCGCTTGCGCGGTTTGAGGGTTGGGCTGGGGTAGGGTTGGAGTGTTGGTTGAGTTGGGCCGCGGCCGTTAAGCTGCCGGCTGTTTGGCCGGTAGAGCTGCCGGCAGCCGGTTGTGGCTGGGAGCGAGGGATTGACTGCACTTGGAGCCGCGTTTTGACGACATCGAGCGGCGCGACGAACGTGGCGGCTATGGCGCCTGGGGGTTGGGTCGGGTACACGGGAAAACGGAGACGGAGAGGAGACAGAAAGGAGACAGAAGGGAGACGGGAAGGAGACGGAAGAGAAACAAACGGTGAACAGTTGGACTAGCTACGTGTCCGCATTTTTTAACAAGAGATTCAAGTTTGAAGATTATTAGGTATGACGAATCAACAAGAGTCTGACGTGGCATTCACCTGCACCGGCGCCCGCGACGCCGCTGAAGATCTGCGACCGGCGCTCCTCGGGGAGCTCGCCCAGCCACTTCTGCATGCTGACGCGCGAACGTGAGTTGATGCGCGAACGAGAGTTGACACGCGAACGAGAGTTGACACGCTAACGAGAGTTGACACGCGAACGAGAGTTGTCGCTGGCGTTCGAGTTGAAACGCGGATCTGATGAAAACCTTTGCGCCAATTGCGGCGTAATATCCGTTTTTGGACCCCAGATTTCCGACTATCCCCGTAAAATAATAGATCGACGGCGCGTGCGAGTTGATGGGATATCGGAGAGCGATGCTCGAGGCGGTGCGGACATCGCAAAACGCCGTCGTTATTATTCGTTTGATCCGGCCGACGGTTGATGCATGGGAAGGTGAGCTTTGAAGAACAGGTCAATGCGGTTCCCTCCGATTCAGCCCTCGTCGAACTGACTTGGCGGTCACCAAAAAAGGTAATGCAGTTCGTCGGTCACTGCACTCCCTCTGTTAGACGTTATTCAGAAAGCGCCGCGCGCAACGGCGACGGGGGATAACCAGTCCGGCACTTATTGCTCGTCGCGCGACGGTCTTTCTTCAATCTTGCGGAACTTCGCGCGCCGTGGTGTGGTGTGGCGTGGCGTGGCGTGGCGTGGCGTGGCGTGGGGTGGTGTTGAGGCGCGAACGCACTAGATTCGCTCATCCGTGAATAATGGATGCGCGAATTTTGCAAAAAAGACAGATGGTCCACGCGACGTTGATCGTAGCTGTTCAGCCTCGATTGCCTTCGGAAAAAATAATAACAGGCAACAGGCAGTAACGCAAACGCGCTAAGGAGACGGCTGCGATGCGGAACTAAAGGCTCAAGCACGAAGCTTCTTTCAATGCTTCTTGCGAGGCTGACTGGGATGCACTTTCGCCCTCTCTGCTGTGGCAGGCGAAATTTGAAGGCTGGGGCATCACTCAACCGCTCCCCATCTCTTATCAGAAAATACTCACCGTTTATTACCGCTTTGTTCCACCGCTTCATGCGATGCCATAAACGTTCAGCCTCCCAAACAAAAGTGAAACTAAGCCATTTCCTCACTACTGAATGAGCAATTTCTCATTCCCTTGCGCGGACCCGTTCCTATTGCCCGCGGGCTCGCTGCTGCACGAAAATGAGGGAGATCCAGCAAAGTGCGTGGGGTCGCGGGCGCGTTCCCCAGAGTGGGCGCATGCGCCGAGGCAACAACGTGGTTGGAAGAAACTTCGGGAGAAAATCGGGGGAATGGTACTTCGGCGGGGCAGGATTCGGGCAAGATCTCGGAGTTCATTGGACGAGAGACATGCGTGACGACTACAAACGAAGAGTAGGCTGGGCGGTGAGGTGGGGCTACTGGTATGCTGATTCGCTCATACGTCGGATCACGGGAAGCTGACCTGGCAACAGCACATTACAGGCGACCATATGACGGAGGGAACGGCTTCGATTGGCAGAAAGTATAACAGCAGCAGTTCCGCTGCAATAACACACCCTAAGTCAACACATTCTTCTGTATAAAATGCAAACTTAGCAAACAAAACAAGTACATGGTTCAATCACTGAACAAATTCCTCCTAAACTAACTACATATGTATGGTACTTATGCTTTCACACAGGTTTGAAAGCCTTTCAGAATTGCTGGCCTTGCACCCGCGTCACACCTGCAGGTCCAAACAACGGCATTCCGCCAGCCACGGCTCTTGAAGAGCGGCCTACATCTCCCCCGCCCCCCACACTGCGTCCCAGAAGCCGATTTTGAATTCCATCCGAACGACCCGCACAAATTATTGCACCGATACTGCGCGCGCTGCCTCTTTTGACTCGTGCAATCCGAAGCCGACGTCAAGCAATTCCTGGCGAGCCTCATATTTGTACACGACGATATCGGTGTCGCCGACGCGGGACTTAAACCAAACTGCAACTGCACTACCCCTACAAAATAGTTCCTTCGGAGGTCGAGAACCTTTAGTTGCGGAGGGAAGACGTTTGGAAGGGGCCCCGTGAGGAAGTTGTTGGCAACGGAGAGGGAGGTGATGAGGAGGGGGAGGCGGGGGAGGCTGCCGGTGTGGAGGTTCCGGGGGACGTGTAGGAGATCGACCGTGTCTGAGAACACGGGTATTTCTCCGGAGAGGGCATTGTTGGCTAGGTTCCTGTGGAGGTGAACAAGGGAAGAGAGAGAAGGATGTGATGAGGAGAGGGAGGAGGGGGAGGCGGGGGAGGTTGCCGGTGTGGAGGTTCCGGGGCACATGTGGGAGGTCTACCGTGTCTGAGAACGCGGGTATTTTGCCGGTGAGAGCGTTGTTGGCGAGATTTTTTGGGGGGGACAGAAAGAGGAAGGAAGAGAGAGGAGAGTGTAAGAGAGTACGAGAGAGGAAGGTAGACAGCATGTGAGACAGCAGGTGCAAAAAGGGTTGACGTGGGAGCTGCTCTGCATGGGAAAAGGTCGAAGAGTCGCTAAGGAACATGCATGTGACATGCAACACTTACACGCGGCATGCATGTGACATGCAACACTTACACGCGGCATGCATGTGACATGCAACACTTACACGCGGCATGCATGTGACATGCAACACTTACACGCGGCATGCATGTGACATGCAACACTTACACGCGGCATGCATGTGACATGCAACACTTACACGCGGCATGCATGTGACATGCAACACTTACACGCGGCATGATGTGACATGCAACACTTACACGTGGCATGCATGTGCACATGCACATGCCATGCACGGGGACAGAAGGACACTCAAACATGGTCCCAGATGGAGCAGGGTAACATTTACACTTAGACCAGATGGGGCAGGGTAACACTCACACATAGTCCAGATGGGGCAGGGTAACACTCACACATGGTCCAGATGGGGCAGGGTAACACTCACACATAGTCCAGATGGGGCAGGGTAACACTCACACATAGTCCAGATGGGGCAGGCTGGCAACAGCCGTGGGGATGCGCTGCGAGAGGAGATTGTTGGGCATGGACCTGCAGGGGAGATGGGGGAGCGGAGCCCGGGGGTGTGAAGAGCAGGGAGAGGAGCGATTAACAACCGTGGCTCATGGCAGGTACGTGAATTTTACTTTTGAGAATTCTCAAAAGCAACAATCGTGGTTCATGGCAGGCTGGCTACAGCTGGGGGGACGCGCTGAGAGAGGAGGTTGCTGGGCATGGACCTGCAGGGGGGATGGGCGATGGGGATTTGGGAATGAGAGTAAAGCACAGTGAGATTCAAGATGTCTCGAAGCTCCTCTGAGAGAGAAGGTTATTGGGCATGGAAATGCAGGGGGGATTGCAAATGAAGGGAATGGGACGAGGGAGTATTTGGGTACAGAATTGATTCTAATATGGTGTGCGAGCAGTGATGTCACTGCATGGTGCGTGTGAGAACTGCCCTACAATACGAAGAAAAGTCGATAAAAAATAGAAGAAAATCACAATAAGAATGCACAAAAGCGGAGCACTCACAAGTAGAAGAGGCTTGAGAGAGCTCCCCAGGAGCCGGGAATGGGTCCCGAAAGGCGATTAAAGCCCAGGTAACTGCAGCGATGGGTTGAGGAACGGGAGAGTGAGGGAGAGTGAGTGGGAATAGGAGGAAACGACACAAGTGCAGGCAGTAGTGCTGACAGTGGGGTGGGGTTACAGAGTAGGCAGGGGGAGGGAGTGGGTGGGGGGAGGGGGGGTAGGAGGCTTATAGGTATTGTAGGGCCACGAGGGCCACGAGTAGGCGGCAGGGTGGGATGAGACACGTCAAAGCTCGTCTCATTTCACGAGGGGGAAGGGAGTGGGGGGAGGGGAGGGGGGAAAAGGGCAGGGGGGTCTTACAGGTATTGTAGGGCCACGAGGGATGAGTAGGCGGCAGGGAGGGGTCCTCGAATGTTGGTGGGCTGGCCAAACGAGGGCTTTGAGCCGATGGCGCTGGAGGGGAGGGGAGAGGGAAAATAGACGAGAAAGGAGTGGAGAGGGGTAGAGAGAGTGGATTGAGAGGGGCCCTCGAATGTTGGTGACTTGGTCGAAAGGGGTTCAAAGGGGTCGAAAGGGGTCGAAAGGGGCTGAAAGGGGCTAAAAGGAGTGAGTGCACAGAAGCAGAAGCACATGCACATCCACACGCACAAAATAACGAGCGCAAGCGCAAGGAGAAGTAAAGGCAAAATGGCAGTGCTGGCACTGCTGGCACTGCTGGCTGTGCTGAGAGGCACTCACAGGTGGATGAGGTGCGTGAGGGAGCTGAGCTCGTCAGGGAGACTGCCAAAGAGATCGCCGCCCTTGATGGACCTGCCAGGGGTAGCGGTGGGTGAAGAGCGGTGACGAGGGATGAAGAGGAGAGGGAAGGAGTGTAAGGAGGTTGAGGAATCGAACTCGGGAGTCAGACTTGGGAAGTTCACCTGCAACGACCTGATGGGACCAATTAACCGCATCACCTGAGGCAACACATGAGGCAGCACATGGCACCTGAGGCAGCATCTGAGAAAGCACGTGAGGCAGCTGAGACAGTGCTCTGCAAAGCGGTACCAAGGGGTACTCACAGATGCACGAGGTCGGTGAGTTGCCCCAGTGCCGTCTGCAAAGGGACAGTGCTCTGCAAAGCGGTACCAAGGGGTACTTACAGGTGCACGAGGTTGGTGAGCTGCCCCAGTGCTGGCGGCACCTCCCCTCTCAGATACTTCCCGTTCAGTGACCTGCGCGCGTTGGCAGGGGGGGATGGGAAGGCGGAAGGGGGAAAAGTGGAGAGGGGGGTGAGAGGAGAGTGGAAGGTTGGTGAGCTGCCCCAGTGCCGACGGCACCTCCCCTCTCAGATACTTCCCGTTCAGTGACCTGCGCGCGTTGCGAGGTAAGGGGAAAAGGGAAAGGGGGACGGGGGAAAGGGGAACGGGGAATGGGGAAGGCGGAGGGGAAGAGGGGTGAGGGGGGACCAAGATTTGAGGGAAGGGAGTGGTGAGCGCGAGTAATGAGCAGTGAGTGACTTTGACAAATGGCGCATGAGTGAATTGCTTTTGAGAATTCTCAAAAGTGGCGCATGAGTGGACAGTGATCGGACTGGGCGGCATGTGACTGAAACGAATGGCATGTGAAAGGAGTGAGTGCCATGTGACTGTAACGAAGGCTGTGTGGCTTACAGTGCGGTGAGCAGCTGAAGGCTCTCCATACCCGCCGGAATCAAACCCCCTATGTTCACCGAGTCAAGAAGCCTGCGTACAGTGCAGTTTAGGATATATAAGAATCGTATAAATGCTTATATTTGGAAATTAGGATACCTATCACAGTGCATGATGCGAGGAGGCTGTGTGCGAGATGCGTGATGTCATGCGGAACATACAGTGTTTGGAGTGATGTGAGTTTGGTGACGTCAGCAGAAAGAAATCCTCCGTTAAATGATGACTTGAATTGTCTGCACGGATGGAAGGATTATTAAATGGACGAATAGATTTATAAATGGATGCGCTGATTTCATGGTACAGGAACAAACAGGAAGCGATTTGTTAACTGTAGCTTTTGAATATATACAACTACACGACATTTCACACATTTTTCAGCGAATTACACTACTGTAAAAGCGAACTTCAACAAATACGCACATCGAGGTCGGTTTGCCGTCGGCGTCGCACACGACGCCCGTCCACCCGTCGTTGCACTCGCGCGTGCCCAACCACCCATAACTGCTCGGTACCCGCAGCGCCTTGCCCAGTGCGTTTAGAGGGGGAACTGCGGAAACGAAGGGGGAAAAAGGGAGTGGTGGGGGTTAGGGGAGGAGGGGGCGGGGAAAAGGCAAGGTAACGCGGGGTGAGAAGAGACTGGGAGATGGGGAATATGAGGCGCAAGGCACGCGTGTAGCGGGGGGACTGTTGAAAAGCAGCGCGGAAAAGGGAGTGAGAACGGGGATGGGTGGGGCGGAACGGCAAAGTAACGGGGGATGAGAAGAGAGGCGGGCGGTTGTGAGGCGCAAGTCATGGGGAAAGGGGGAGCGTACACACGCTCAAGCGGGGGAAGGTTTTTGGGGGGGGGGGGGGGGGGGGGGGGGGGGGGGGGAACTGGAAAGCGGGGGGGAAGAACTCGCGAGGGGACAACCAGGCTGGGGCGCGGAAACTGGAACGTACGCTAAGTGAGCGGAAGGAACCGGGGCGGACGGAGAGGGGGGCGAGAGGGGGGCGGAGAGAGGGGAGGAGAGGGCGGCGGAGAGAGGGGAGGAGAGGGCGGCGGAGAGAGGGGAGGAGAGGGCGGCGGAGAGGTGGGACGGAAATATGGAAGCGGGAGGAAAGGAACGAGCCGGAAGCTTCCGCATGAGTGGTTGGGGGACGGAGACGGGAACGGGGGGGGGGGGAGGGGGAACGGAGGGGGAGTTAGCGCTTACACATGCTCGAGTGCACCGCAACTGGCGCAGGTGCGACGGCAGCCGCCGATGTGATTCCAGCTACCATCACAAGCAGCGCGATCAACGCCGCGATTCGCGCAACTCGACAAGACGCGAGGGACCGGAAGGCCATGTGACGCGAGGGACCGGGAGGCTCTGAAGCTGGTGGGACCATGTGATGAGAATGGTCTCGCGCCTCGAAAGCAGCCCTACAGGCAGGTAAGGGCTCTGAAGCCGCCGCGTAAGCACTCCGCAATGGTCGGCGGCGGTTGGTTGATGCGTGGGTGGTTTCTGTCGTGTAGCTGTTCGGTTGATTAATCGTCATTCTGAACTCGCGAACTAGACTCTGAAAGTCGGGAGTAGTACAGCCGGCGTTAGCTCGATGCGGCCAATCGGCCCGGAAAACACAGGAACGAGTTTGAATCGAGCCCACTATTTCTCGTTAGCACTTATAGCGCTTGAAAAAGGAACGTGCTATTTTAGTAAGGGCTAATCCTTCCCGAGTAAGCTAAAAAACTTCCGTTGGGGATTATTGATACTGACGCCGGCGTGTAGTGCAGGCTCGTGCGACTGGAATATAGTATCGACGGAACGACAGGGCAGTTTGGAAAAGGTTTCCTTGAAGGCACTGAGGTGCCACCCCAAAAAAAACACGGATCTTGGTAGGATAGGTGTAGCATGCGATGCGTAACGAGCGCTGCGCGTGAAAAACAAGCAAAAGCAAGATTTATTAGTATTTGTAGGAGCAGCAAGAAGAACCAGAGAGCACATGGCGCGATGTGCATGACGTTGGATAGTGACGTTCCCCATCGAACGCGTTGGTTTTTGCGGTTCGTGTAGATTTATCACCGCTTATTAACGCACATCAACGAATGGGAACGCAAATAAACCAGAGAAAACCGTGTTGAAGGTACGGAATAACTGAAAGCAGCACCAAGATCACTCGGTGAAAGGGATGGTCAAAGGAGTGCAGGACGCTTTCCAGCTCATGAACTCTGAGGGCCCATTTTGACGACGGCGAGCACGAGTTTCGTTCGCTCGATGGTGTTACAGTTGATTCACCTTGTAGATTTCCCATCTCGTTAGACTTTCGGGCGTCATAACTTATCAATGGCTACGCCTACGCCATGAATGGGGATTAGCTCCGCCGCAGTGCACCGGTTTGGGGAGGTGTGAGAGCTCGTTTCGAAGTTGGGTCACCAACGGCTCTTGCACCTTCTACCCTGCAGCATTTGGCCCGAACGGTTTTGAACACTCTTCCACATAGAGATGGCTGAACCAGAAAATTCTGAAGATCCACAGGTGCATTGTTTCAAAACACTGGTCAGATGGTTTGGTCCACGCCCCAGTTATGTTGGTGAACGTCACCAAGTCGTGTTTCTTTCTACAACAAAAAAACCATAGCTCAATCACACTCACAAAGGAGGAAGAAACCCGAAGTATACCCCTCTAAGCGTAGAAAAAAGGGTTGCCCTCGCTGGTGACCGAACTTCGCTTGGTGTCCGGACTTCGAAACGAGATCTGAGGAAGGGGCATGATCGTCGTGGGGGGAGGTTAAGTTAAAGTTATTTTTCTGGTCGTAACCAGTTACAGGGCTATCCTTCCTAGATGAGCACGTGCTAACCCCTACTTGGGGCTGGCAGAACACGCCTGCACGGGGGTGGGTTCGATCCCAGGACCTCATCTATCGGAAGTGCCTCTTTCTACTGACTAGGCCACTTCAGGATGAGTCGTGGGGGGAGGAATCGAGGACCGCGCTGGGGAAGGGCTACACTACACAATCTTCATGAGAGTCTGAGCTGGCTGCCGGGACCGACAGTGGCAGCACTGCGCACAAGCCGCAATGCCCATGTTCGAAAGACCGAAACACTGTGCAGGGGGGCTAAAGGTCGGTGCTTGTTCGGTTTTCGATGGTTTAGAGAGGCGAGACGGGATGGCCAGAGAACGTCATGCTGCTATGTTTGCGCCTCCGCGTTTTGGGAGGTTCATCGCCGTCGTTTCCATCCTATAGATTTGTCGTTTTTAACGTCCTCTTCGTCCTTTCTGACTGCTGATTTGTACTGTACAGAGTCGCAGCCAATGATGTGTGTGTACAGTATTTTCAACGGCCACATTCTTCAGTGTCTCGACCGCTGGCGCAGGCTGTCCCGTAGCGGGAGGAGGGGTGTCGGTGTCTGTCGGGCAACTCTCCATGCACAACCTGCTTCGCAAGCAACCTTCGCAACCTTCGCGACAAACGAATTTCGCGGCTACATCTATTATTCTTGACAGTACCTTCTCTACACATAACGGAACAATGTTCTCCTTGTTCCGGGACTGTCAATAAGCGTGTGTGCAATTCGCCAGTCTCTATGTGACGCTGCTTAGGCGCAATAACTTGAATGGATCGCGCCTTTCGATTTCACTGTCCCATCCCGACTCCTGGTAAACTTGGCTTGTCCGTCTAATGACATATAATCTGGAGAAGTAGTAGTTTCTGTTTGCTCTTGAATGGTCGAGGCGGCGACGAAGTTCGCAGAAGATGTCGCAAAGAGCATATCGGAAAGCGAAACCCGATAGTAAGGAGGACAGATCCGCCATGGAACTCCACACAGCCGCACGCAACGGCGACTTGGAGGCGGTTCGGCGGTTGATAGTGGTGGAAGGGGCTGACGTCAACGCTCGCGATAAGCTGAACCGCACGCCGTGAGAACATGCTTTTGCTTCTTACTTTCTCACCAGTCCATGTCTTTCCCCGTAAACCCTATATTTTCAACCCCACTAATATCGGTTGATTTTTCTGGTCTGCCCTGAATTGTTCCGCTCGGCAACTCTAGGCGTCCCTGCTAATTCTCACCCACCGTACTTTCCTGTCTCCGCCGTTCTCCCTTCTCGTTCCCGCCACCCACCACCACCGCCTCCCATGCCTTTCCCCCTCCGTCTTCCCCCTTCCCCAACCTTTCCGCCGCCCCCGTCCTCTTCTTCCCCGCAACCCTCCAACCTCGCTCCCCTTGGCCCCTCCCCCTCCCCTGCCCACCTTCCTTTCTTTCCTCACCTCTTCTCTCCCTCCCCCCCCCCCCTTCCCCACCCCCTTGTCCGCCTCGTCCAATCAGGCTCCACTTAGCAGCCTGGGCGGGTCACGCTGACGTCATCACCCTGCTGTGCGCCAGCAAGGCGGCGGTCAACGCGGCAGCCGCGGACGACACGTCAGCGCTGCACTTCGCGGCGCAGAAGGGCCACGTCAGCGCCACGCGTGCACTGCTGGCGGAAGGAGCCAAGCCGGCCGCGGCCACTAGAAAGGGCATGACTGCCTTGCACTTCGCAGCTTCCAAGAACTTTCCGGAGGTAGTTAGGCTACTAGCTAGGAAGGGGGGCAAGGAGCTATTAGGTATGCGGAATAAGAGCGGTGAGAAGGCCGTGGACTTGGCTGAGGACGAGGAGATTAAGAGACTACTGGAGGGTTTGGAGGAAGAGTTGGTTAGCAGTGGGGGAGGCAAGGGCAAGGAGAAAGGGAAGAAGGAAAAGGTTGGGGGAGAGGAGAAAGGACGGGATGGGAGGCATGGGGAAGTAGCAGGGGAGGAAGGGAAGGGTGGGAAGGGAGGAAAGGGAAAAGAAGGCGGGGAAGCAGGGCGAGGAGGGGAAGTAGGGAAAGGAGGGCAAGGAGGAGAAGGAGGGCAAGGAGAGGAAGGAGGGGAAGTAGGGAAAGGAGGGGAGGCGACAGAGGAGGGAGGGGTTGAGAGAAGAGTGGGGAGTGACAGTCATGAGCAGGGGAGAAGAGAAAGTGCATCTGGAGATGCTGGGATGGAGGAGGGGGGGGGGAAGAATGAAGGGGAGGGGAGAAGAGAAGGGAGAAGAGAGGGAGAGAGAGGGAGAGGAGAGGGGAGAAGAGAGGGGAGAAGGGGATGTGGAAGGGAAGGAGAAAGTTCGTAGGAGACAGGAGGAAGAGGAGGACGGAGGAGCAGGCAAAGGAGGAGAAGGGAAAAGAGGAGAAGGGAAAGGAGGAGAAGGGAAAGGAGGGGACGGGCAGCAGGTGGAGTCTCGGGCAGCCAAAAAACCCAAGATTGGTTTGTCTCATTTGAGTGCTGACGTTGATGATGCGTGGGAGGAGGAAGCAGACTGACATGCTGCTAATGTGGATGCTTGCTTACAGTATAAAGGATATGCTTGTAAAGTGCAGGTTGTTGTAGGCAGGATGATGCTTCAATAAAGATTGTTTCTAAGGTGATCCCATAGCCGTAATAGCAAGATACAAGTAACGGTACAGCTATGGAGGCAACTCAGAATAATACAACATATGGTACGGTAAAAGAAATAAATTAAATCAAAAGCAGCTGGGTTACAACCAGACCCTTCAACATCCACCGAGGCAGGATGCCTAATACTACCATATTAGATAGCTTATGTCTCCCTCCGACTATTTTTAGGTGGCTCCGATTCTAGAGCCAGTCAATGTTTCAACACTGCCCCACAAACCCTCCAACATTTGCAAGTCAACGAAGGGACGCCAGAGACAGGCGTCAGGAGCAGAGCAGCGAAGCAGGCAAACAAGCGGTTCATGACGACCCCAAAAAGCAAATCAGGTTTCACACAGAGGAGCCACACGGACAGAACACCCTACGAGCCAATGAACGACGCGAACGAGTGAAGCAGCTCGGTGCTGCTGCTGCCGCCGCTGCCACTTCTTCTTTGCTCCTCTTTCTGCTGCACTTGCTCCCTCTCTTCCTCCTCATCTGCCATCAGCTCAGCCTGCTCCGCCCTCTCATAATCCACTTCCAAGTCAATTCTAGCCGGCCCCCTCACTGTCCTCGCCCCTGCCTCCTCCACCTCCTCCTGCAGAGCTTGCACCCCCTCACTCACCACTCCTGCAAGCTCCATTCCCATTCGCGCCGGACCTGACACCAACCCTTGCATCCCCGAGCCTCTCACCGAGCCTAGACGCTCGGCCACCGAGGCTGCGTGTGCGCTTAGGGAGGTGCTCTTGGCGGCGGTTCGGCTGGTGGAAGTCGCCTTGGGTGTACACAACACTACCTCGTTTCGGGCATTATAAGTGGGTATGTACCCGCTGAGGCAGAAACAACCCACGCCGCGACAAGAAAAGTAGTACGGGTAGCAGCGGGCGAATTTCGGGCAGCCGCCGTTAACCCTCCCGGGGGCAACGCACGGCCAGGATCGCTTCTGCTGGCACGTGCACGCATCATCCCTATTCGGCACAGTCACAGCATTCGCATCACAAGCACAAGTCCATGCAGGAGGTACAGACCCAGGAGCGAGCCTGGGGCGTTTGATGGTCGAGGTGGTGGGGGAGGAGAGGAGCTGAGAGGTGGCGACAGTGGTGGTGGTGGTGGGGATGGAAGGGTAGCAGGTTCCGTACCCTCGGCACTGGCTCTTCCCTCGGACGAGCCTGTCCCACACAACCGTCCCGCAGGCGGCTTTGCACTGCGTGGCGTTGCGCTGCGCGTCAGATGCAGTGCATTTAGACGTTTCCGAGAAGCAGTTTTTGGAGAGGGCGGCGCCGAGCGACGCGCATCTGACAGGGAAGGCGTAGAAGAGACTTGTTCCGACGAACACATTCGCGATTCCGGTGAAATAGTTGTCGGATAGGTCAATGTAGGTGAGATTCAGAGGGAAAAAGAGGGGGAGGTTTCCGGTGAAGTAATTGGTGTTGATTGCGAGGGAGGTGAGGAGAGGAGGGAGGGCGGGGGGGAGCGGGCCGGAAAGAAGGTTCTTGGAGAGTGTGAGGGAGTCGAGTTCGGTTGAGAAGTCTGGGAAAGGGCCGGTGAAAAGGTTGTTAGAGAGATCACTGCCGGGGGAGAAGGGGGAAAGAGGGAGGGACGGGAAGGGGGGAAGGAAGGGAGAGAGAAAGTAAAGGATGAGTGAGTGTGGAGAGAGAGGGTGTGGAGCTCGGTGGAAAAGTCTGGGAACGGACCGGTGAAGAGATTGTTGGATAGGTCACTGCAGGGTGGGGAGAAAGGACAGGGGAAAAAGGGGGGGGGGGGGGGGGGGGGGGGGGGAGCAGGCCAGAGAGAAGGTTCTTGGAGAGTGTGAGGGTGTTGAGTTCGGTGGAGAAGGATGGGAACGGACCGGTGAAGAGATTGTTGGATAGGTCACTGCAGGGGGGGGGGGGGGGAGGGAGGGAGGGAGCATGGAAGGGAAGAGTGGAAACAATATGTGAGTGTGGAGAGGGAGAGAAAGTGAACTTTGAATAGGTGACATGACACAAAACAGTTAAGGCAGCTCAGAATACTTTAGGCGCCACAAAGAACTTTACCGACTTTGGGGGTTGCGGGAAAAGGGATGCAGTGCGTACACTTCATAGAGGTGAGGCAGAGCCGCAATCTCAGGTGGAATGTCGTCGGAGAGTGTGTTGCTCGGCGCAGCCCTGTTGGGGGAAAGATGAAGGGCGGCAATAGGAGGAGAGGGGTGGGGAGGGGGGGGAGGGATGGGGAGGAGTGGGGAAGGGTGGGGAGGAGTGGGGAAGGTTTCGGAGGAGTGGGGAGGGCCGAGGGAAGGGGGGCAGGCGGGAATGGGAGATTAGCTGACTAATAGGAGGTGGAAGCGGCAGGAGGCGCGGCGAAAGGGGGAATAGGGAAGCGGAGGAGACATGTGCTTATATGGAGTGCGCTTAACAGGGTGCTTAAAACGAGTGTGCCGGTAACGAGTATGCTTACAAGTAGAACAGATTGGTGAGCTGGCTGAGGCAGAGCGAGCCCTGCAGGCGGTTAAAGCCCAAGTTCCTGGTGGGGGGGGGGGGGGGGGGGGGAAGGAGGCGAAGACAAGGCCGGCACAATATCAGGAAAATCAGGCACAAAGCGGGTGGGGAAGCGGATATGGGAAGCGGACATGGCAGACAGCCGACAGCAACCCGTCACTCCCTCACTCCCTCACTCCCTCCCTTCCTCCCTCCCTCCCCTCTCACATATCCCCCAGCCCTCCCCCCACCCACAGTGACCGCGCCCTGCCCCCACCCACCAGGCCGGGCTCTCCCCCCCGTCCCCACCCCCCGCCCCTCCCCCGCGCGCGCTTACAGGTACTGAAGCGGCGCGAGGTCGCAGAGCGCCTCGGGAATGCCGCCGTTGATTGCGGAGAAGCGGTTGAACGCCGCGGCGGAGCCCACGCTGAGCAGCTGGAGGCGCGACAGCTGGCCGAGCGCCGCGGGGATCTGCCCGGACAGAGATCCGCCCGTGATGGACCTGCGGGAACGGGGGGAACCGGGAGGAGGGAGGGGGGGGAGGAAGGGGAAGGAGAGGGGAGAACGGACCCGATGCTCAGCAGCTGCAGGCGCGCGAGCTGGCCGATCCCCGCGGGGATCTGGCCGGACAAGGACCCGCCCGGGATGGACCTGCACGAAAAGAGAAAACGGCGGGGTGGGGAGGCGCGGGGGAGGGGGGAAGGAACGGAGGGCGCGGCTGAGCGGCTGCGGGCGGAAGAGCCGGTGGAGAGGCGGGGATCTGCCCGGACAACGACCCGCCAGTGACGGACTTGCAGGGGGGACGCGGGGAATGTAGGGGCGCGCGTGGGCACGGACAGCGCAAAGAGCGGGGGCGCGCATAGGGACATGTGTGGAATGAATGGGCGGAAGCAACGGGTACGGGGAGAGGATGGGGGAGGGAGGGAGGAAAGGGAAGCACATGGAGGCAGCGGAAAAATGGCGCGGAAGAATGGCGGGGGAGAATGGCGCGGAAGAATGGCGGGGCAGAAAAGGGGGAAGGAAGAGGGGAAGGAAGCGATTATGAGAGGAAAGAGGGAGAGGAAGGGGAAGTGGACGGGAGAGGAGGCGGACGGAAGAGAGGAGCGGGGCGGGGCGGGTAGGGGGAGGCGATTGGGGGAGAATGGTAAGTAGCTTACAGATGCGCGAGGTTGGTGAGGTCGCCGAGACTGGCGGGGATGGGCCCCGACAAGGTGAGTCCGTTGAGCGCACTGGACGGAGGGGGGAAGAGAGAGAAAGGCCGGGGGGAGAGACGAGCGGGGGAGCAGTTGAGAGGGAAGAGCGGTCGGGATGAGAGTGGACTGGCGACCAAAGTTGACGATGCTCGCGTTATGCTAACGAATGCTTCAATAACGGAGATGGACAGGTGCACTATGGCAGGACCGGAGAGAGGCGGCTAGAGCGTGATTGTAAGAGAGGGTGATTCTAACAGAGGGTGCTTACATCGCGGTCAGGCTCGCCAGGCTCCCGACTTCTGTGGGAATGCTGCCAGTCATGTCCAGGTTGTTGAGCAACCTGTTACAAGCACACCCAGTACAAGCACAGCGAAAAACGCACATCAATTAGGAGGAGCACCATGGGAGCCAGGGAAAAGCATAATACGCGGCTCGTCGGGCTTCCTAGAGTTCTCTTATAGCGCATGTACGACGGGCTCCTAGATTTCGGCGCGCTTCCAACCCTCGCGGCGGCACTCCCAAGGCTCGAGGCACTCCCATGCTTGCAGGCGGACAAGGTAGCACGTACAAGGCTTGCAGTCGGCTGAGGGTGCCGACAGACGTGTGGAGCGACCCGCCAGTCCACGTGGGCTTGTTGAAGGATCTGCCGCATCGAATCCCAATCAAATCCAATCATTTCCAGTCATGGATATCACGCACGATGTTACAATGGGGAAGGGAGAGAAGAGTGGCGGAAGAGACGGGGAGGTCACGGTGAGCAAGGCCTGCGCGCAGAACCTGAGAATCCGAGGAACGTTGAAGGGCGAAGAGTCTGTACCAAAATAAATAAATAAATGAATAAATAAATGAAGTCGATGTAAAAGAGTCCTATGTCAGGTCGAATTCGTTGTGAACGTCGATTCGCCCGCCGAAAATTCGAGAGAAAGGCGAGAGACATCGAAGGGTATAGAACAACTTTTACGAAGCGAGAGTGTGAATGGGTAAACGCCGCAACAGTTCTACGAAACCGTGGTTCTACATGGAAACGGGAATACCGTCCGCGTCGCACGCGACTCCGAACCATCCAGTCGCAGAATCGCATTGCCGCAACGTCGACAAACTTAGAGGACCGTCGAAAACGGCGGCAACAGCGTTACAGACGTTACGCTACGTATTACCGCGACATCTTAACGAACAGGGTATCAGCAAGTGTCGCAAGCGACTGGTTTTGCGACAACGGTAACGGTCGTACATGGAAACGGGGTGACCGTCGGTGTCGCACGTGACTCCGAGCCATCCAGTCGCGGAGTTACATTGCCGCGCCGCCAACCAACCGAAGGTCGACGGCACTTTGAGGCTCGTCGCTATACTAACCATCGCTTGCGCTGCACGGACAGAGGGGAGGGGAGGAGGGGGGAAATGGTTGAGGGGAACGGCGGGAAAGGGAGTGGGGGAGGGAAGAACGCCATGGAAGACGACCAGCGTTTCGATGTGGGACAAAGCCGGCACTTCGAGACTCGTCGCCGCTATACTCGCCATCGATTGCGCTGCACGGACGGAGGTGCAGGGGGTGGGAAAGGGAAGGGGGCTGAGTGCGGACGCGGGGAGAGAAGACTAGCATGTGGTGCCTTGTTGGATGGAAGCTTCTTCACTGTCAGCTGGTGAGTTTCTGGAAGGAGCGTCACAGCGTAGGCTTGAGGGAACTTTTGGGTCGACTCAAAAGCTTCAGAAAGAAAGAGCTGGGCTTCAGAAAGTACGTACAAATTTCGGCATTTAGCGTCACGGGGTCGGCTGAAGAGACTGACGAGACGAGAGCCATGGCGACGCAACATGAGAACAGCAGTCTGTACTGCAGCCTCGAACGCCAGCTATTTCTGGCCATGTCTATCTGGGTCAATGATGACGCTTCGTTCGCCGATTGGGTGCTAAGCTGGGAACTACGGACTTCGGCAAACCGAGAAACTCGGCCCGGACGGATGGGCTAGTGCTTAACGGTAGGAACTTGACGGCAATAGTAGAGTGGAAGACGGAGAATAGGTATACCTATAATGAGGCCACTTGGGAAACTACGGAATGATGGAGTGTAAGGCCTGAAGTCGGTGACTGTTTACGGATAACGCCGTGGATCAATTAGGACCTTGTGCGTGAATGGCAGATTAAAAAGCTATACAGTGGTGAAATCCAGGTCCATTACGGGACAGTACGGAACTGTCCTAGAGGTTCCCAGTCGCTGCTTAGGTAGACGTTGCGGTAAATAGCTAATTGGTGTGGATTGGTGGAGCTGGGGAGCACCAAGAATCATGTCAGGTCTCTCCCGACCCGAAGCCTTCCTTCCCTCTTGTTTTTTGTGCACGCAAACCAACAACCTCCCCTAGGGTTGTTGTTTGGGTTTTTAGTTTCCCCGGAAGGCTTACTGTAGCTGTCCTTCTTTCAAGGGACTTTCATCTCAGCTTGCGCACACTTTCCGCTGATCCGCTTCTGAGGCGGAAGAGTTATTGTGCTAACACAGAACTCGGCTTCTCCGCACGTCACGCAAGCACTGTTTTCATCGGGTGTCTTCTGCCAGCAAGCACAAAACTAAACCCCTCTCGGGTGGCAAGTTTTCGAGGGCATCAACCCTAAACTCCACGCGATTAGGTGTTTAGGATTGATGCCCTTTATTTACATGCCAACCAAGAGGGATTATTTTTGGCATCAACCCTAAACACTTAGTCGCAGTGTTTAGGGTTGATGCCCCCTATCACTTGCCAGCCGAGAGGGATTTAGTTTAGTGCGGATTAGAGAGGAAAAAAACAAATTCTGTTGTGCATCGTTTGCCTGACTAGTAGCAGCTAAGGCCTTACGAGATGATGACACGTGGGTAAACGTGGAGCCGAGTTCTGTCCCAGCGCAATAAGTCTTCTGTCTGGGCGTCGAAACCTGGGAAACTCTGTGCAGGTAGAGATGAAGCTCCCTAGAAAGCGCAGGTTCGGAAGTACCCCTTCCGCAATAACTAAAAACTCTTGTTGTTTCCCTCAATCCTCCCTCCACCTTGTTTCTTCCAGTGTGTGTTGCAGTGTGCAATGAATGACAAGCGTCTCCTCTCCTCGCATCGCACCACCAGCCATGGCGGACGGATGGTGTGTGCGTCTGTCTGTAGTGGTGCAACAAGAACACTGCTCAGGGTGTTGACGGTCTGTCACGTAACAGTTAATGATCGGTTGAGAGCGGTTGATTTTGGACACCGCTTCGAAACGTTTATAACCTCGGACCACGAATTGGAATCAAACCTTGGTGACGCGGCGTCAGTGAGTGACTGGCTGTGGATTGGGGGGGTCCACGCGGAGCAAATGCGGAACCTAGGGTTTCCATTCCATTCCATTCCACCAAACTCAACAGTGCATTCGCTGCTTCGGAAGGTCGGCCGGAAAAGGGTTTCGGGGGAAAAGCAATGCCCAAGAGGGGGGAGCAGTGGTGCAGGGGTTGCGGAATGCCCAAGTTCCAGGGACGAACAAAACAGGCTGTCCAGGGAGAACGGGGAACAACTATTGGGGGAAAAGTAACAAGGGGAAGTTTTAGAGGTGGCGCGGGGAGAGCAGACCACCGCTGCTGGCCGTGCGGGCTGGACAATTTCCTTCGTCAGCCTGGGGATTCTCGGCGAAGGAGGGGGCACTTGGGGGACTTCGCGGTTCCGCCATTCATTCAGGGCAGGGATGGAAATGGATAAAGAAAAAGTTACAACTGTACTGTACACGGAACACACTGGCTGAATTTCCCCTTGACCTAGCAGCAAAACACGCATCTCATCAAGACCAGGCAATTGCCTGGGGTGTGTGTGATTGGTTTCCACAGCTACCCTGGGTTTCCACCCCATTCACCATAAGAACAGTCACAGCGGAAATGTTGGCGGAGAACGTTGGCGAGCTGGCGCTGTCGGAAACACCTGACAACAACACCGCAAAGCGTCTGTGCAGATTCGGTGTTCACTTTGAGCGTCTTCGAAATGTAGGACTGAAAACATGCGATGCAATGTGACTCAAAAATCTTCTATGGCCTACTTGTAATTTTACCATAGGGCGTGATTTGACATTCCCTTGTAACCTCAACGCTTTCTAATTCACAATCAAAAGCAATCATGAATGCTGAGGGTGTCGGTTGGTAAGATGATCCGTCGGTAGATCAACGTAAATAACGTGCAATCTGAAGCCGTGAATGCAAATCAATTTTAAGCTCTGTAGTACAATATGTACATTCCATCAAGCCAGCACATAGGCGTCAAAACGAGAAGCGTGTAAAATCTTATGGGGGTATAGGTCGGGTAGCACCAAACCAAGGAGGTTCGTCGGAACATATGAACCCACCCAGACCTGTTTCGCTTGATACAGCCTGGTGAATGTGGTGGTTGCAGCAGGTCAAATCTATTGCCACCTGGCCTGTTCCTCCGCACGGGCCACCTGCGATTGGCTTCAGCGCCAACCTCTGGGAACTAACCATGACGGATCGCCCACATATACAGCCGTTCGATCGAAAGCTTGAGGGACGAACAATTATACACCGTTCATCTATCTTCCTACCATCAACCATTCTTCGCTGTCGTTGGGACCTGTCGTGCCTTGCAGGATGTTGAGATGGGTGGTGAGTGAGAGGCGGTTCGGAACGGTGTGGAGCGAAATACAACAACAAAATTCGGTTTGGAGAGATGCTTGCACAATTCGAACACCACACCAACAGGTTTCCCTCCCCCCTCCACAATCTCAAGGAGCAACAACTTCAATCCCATAGTTTCAAAGATATGCCGCTGCAGACCCATGTTTTCCACTGGCATTGATTTTGACGAGGCGTGGTGGCGTTCTCGCTCTACTCTGCGAGCACTGTTTGTTCTTGTTCTCTGGAACCAGGCGCCTTCTAGGTCTGGGTTGCGAAGATCCTTCGCATTTGTCGTTACTGAATGCTCCTCGACTTCGTCAGCCGCACATGTTGACCTTTTATTAGGTCTGTCTACAGCTTTCTCTTTAAGCTTAAGTGAAAATGAACCGCGTCAAAGCCGGTCGCAAAAAGGCCGAGGGCGGTGCCAGATCGTTGATCCCCTGTATAGTCTTCCTCATTTCCGCCGCATGCGTCATATTGGTCATTTCCTACACCGGCGCGAACATCGCCACTAAACCGTCATCCGCGCAGTCAGGCGCAAAGAACGTGCGCGGAGGGGGAGAAAACGCGGATGTCATGGAGGAGGGCGGGGGCGAGGGGGACGACGGGGGGGAAATGTCGTTCTTTAAAGGCGGCGTAGGCGCGGCTCCGTTCCTGCCGGATTTCGATTTGAGCCGCCCCGTGGAGCACGGTCCGAAGGGGAAGCGGTTGAGTAAAGAGGAGCAGGAGTATGTGAGCGCGGAGGCGGAATATCAGGTGAGAGATGAACTTCAGCTCGGCCGAAATTCTAACCTTTCGGGAAATGCGTCAATCTGAGACGGTCCAAGTGAAATCACAGCGGAGCAGGAGTACGTGAGCGCGGATGCGGAATACCAGGTGAGAATCGCGACTCGAGTAGATGTGTCTGAATGCTAAAGTTGAGACATCCTGACCGATTTCACAGAGGAGCAGGAGTATGTGAGCGCGGAGGCGGAATACCAGGTGAGAAATTAACGTCGTTCTTAGAGCGTCGATGTAAGTCAGGCTGACGACAGAAAGATGAATTCAGAGCAAGGAGTTGACTTTTGAGTCGACTCAAAAGTCAACGTCGTTCTTGGAGCGTCGATGCAAGTCAGGCTGACGACAGAACGATGAATTCAGAGCAAGGCTACGTGAGTGCGGAGGCGGAATAGCAGGCGAAAATCGCGACTCGATTCGTATGTGTCTAAATGCGTCGATTTGAGACAGCACGAGGAAGGTGGACGAGGAACAGGAAATTGTGAACGCGGAGGAGGCATAACAGGTCAGAAGTAGGAAACAAATGCGCATAACAAATGCGCATAACAAATGCGCATAACAATTGCACATAATGTTGATCACCATTTACCTACACAAATCGAGACGTCAAGAAAAAAAGGGGGGGGGCACTGTCAGGTAAAGATCAGTGTCAGGGAGAAAGGAATTGTTCGGGTAGAAGAGTAAGAGGCGTTGGTGTTGGAAAGCCGCTGCTTGGTTTAGATGTCAGTTATCTGTTTCTAGATAGCAACGGATTTCGCAGGTGTTGCGTTTCGTGGCCTTCATGTGTGAAAGACACGAAATGTGTGTCATTGCCACGCGTACCTTTAGCTTATGGGTTAATGTTGTAAATTTAAATGTCCCCTTCCACCCAACCCCCTTCCCTCCCCTCCCTCCCACACCCCCCCCCCCTCCATCCTCCCCCTCCCCTCCCCCTTCCTCCCCTCCGCTCCCCCCTTCCCCTCCGCTCCGCCTCCTTTTGCAGATGCGTCTGGCGCGCCGCAACGAGCTGACAGGGGGCAAGCGCCGCCAGTGATGTTCGAGTCGGCTCAAACATCGCCCCCCCTCTCTCCCCCCATCTTCTTCCCCTCCCCACCCTCTCTGCTTCCCCCCAGATGCGTCTGGCGCGCCGCAACGAGCTGACAGGGGGGAAGCGCCCCGAGCCGCCGCTCCCGCGGTGGAAGCCGGGCAAGATCAAGGAGGTGTTCCTCACGCCCACCTACCCCTGCAAGCGCGCCGAGCGCCTGGGGGGCACGGGGGCGGACGGAGAAGGGGGAAAGGTGAGGGGGGCGGACGACGGGAGGGGCAAGGTGAGGTGGGCGGACGACGGGAGGGGCAAGGTGAGGTGGGTTGGTAGGTCTCTGTTGGATAGGTCATAATGGGAAACAAACCTGAGTGGGAAGCCGGGCGAGATTAAAGAGGTGCTTCTCACTCCCACCTACCCCTGCAAGCGCGCCGAGCGCCTGGGGGGCAAGGGGGCGGATGGAGAGGGGGAACATTTGGGCCTAGCGGTCGTGTCTAGGGGGAAGTTGAGGGGCGGAATTGGTCGTAATGGTTTGGGCTGGGCTTTAGTGGGGGTAGGCCATAGTGAGAAAGGCTTTAATGACAAGCTGGAAAGGATGGAGGTGGTTTCTCACGCCCACCTCATCATCCCACCCAGTGGAGATGGTGACTACCTCCTCCAGTGGGCGTGAGAAACCACCTCCATCCTCCCCCTCCTTCTCTCCTCCCTTTCGCGCCTTCCTCACTGTCTCTCGTTTTCATTTCTAAAACCCCCGCCTCCGTTCCTCCCCTCTCCCCCTCCCTCCTCCCGCCCCGTCCCCGTTCCTGTGCCCTCAAACTGAGAAACGGGTAGAAAGCTGCAAGCTCGGTTCGACCGCCCCGTCCCCGTTCCTGTGCCCTCAAACTGAGAAACGGGTAGAAAGCTGCAAGCTCGGTTCGACCGCCCCGTCCCCGTTCCTGTGCCACACTCCTTCCCTCCCCCCGCCGCCGTCCCCCCTTCTGCCAGTGGGTGTGCAACATACGGAAATTGAGAGCAGGAGGCAGGCGGCCCATCTTGTCCCCATGAACTTATCCCCCCCCCTCCCCCCCCCCCCCTGGTCCTTGTCCCTATGCCCCTCTTCCCCCTCGCACCCGCCCCTGCCCCCCCCTTCTGCCAGTGGGTGTGCAACATCCGGAAACTGAGAGCGGGAGGCAGGCGGCCCATCGTGTACAGGTGGGGGGTTGAGGGGGTCTTATGGGGTGAGGGGGAAGGGGAGAGGTTAAGGTACGGGGGAGTAGAGAAATCAGAAATCAGAAATCAGAAATCAGAAATCAGAAATCAGAAATCAGAAATCAGAAATCAGAAATCAGAAATCAGAAATCTGAAATCTGAAATCTGAAATCTGAAATCAGAAATCTGAAATCAGAAATCTGAAATCTGAAATGAACGCTACCTGACCCAGGCTTTAAGGTACGGGGGAGCACAGAGAAAAGCAAGCTTGAGATTGAAGCGGGCGTGGCAGTGGGTGTTCAGCTGTTGGAAACTGAGAGGGGGAGGAAGGCGGCCTATCATGTACAGGTGAGGGGTTGAAGGGGTTAGAGGGGTGAATGGGGTGAGGGGGATGGGGAGTGGGGAAAGATTCGGAGGAGTACGGAAGCTGAGAAAGGAGGGGAAGGCTACCCCATCGTGTAAGAGTGAGCGAAGTGAGGGGCGTGAGGGGTGTGGGGGGTGTGAATGAGGTGGGGGGGAGGGGGAGGGGGAAAAGACGGAGGAGGACAGAGAAATGGAATCTTGAGACTGAAGCAGGCGTGGTAATGGATGTCTTTTGAGGCGCCTCAAATGTTGACTCAGAAATCGACTAAAAAATTGAGTCGACTAAAAAATCGACTCATCCCAAAGGAAATGGATTCCTGAGACTGAAGCAGGCATCGTAATGAATGAATTTTGAGGCGCCTCAAAAGTGGCAGTGGATGTGCAACATTCTGAAATTGAGAGGGGGAGGGAGGCGGCCTATTGTGTGTGGGTGAAGGGTTGAGGGGGATGAGGGGGGTGAAGGGAATGAGGTGGGTGAGGGGGGATGGGGAGAGGCAAAGGTAGGGAGGAGTACGGAAGCTGAGAGTGCGGGGAAGGTGACTCATCGTAGTGGAGTGAATGGGGTGAGGGGAGCGAGCCGGCCATCAGGTCATCAGGTTGGGATAGTGGCGACGTAGGATGTGGGAGGTTACAGAGAGAAGCGAGGATCAAAAGCTAAGGAAAGGAAGCAGTGGATGCGGGACATTTAGAAGGTGAGGAGAAAAGGTGAGCCTCTCCTGTTGGGCCGGGCCATTGTGTGCATGTGAGGCTCGAAAAATTAAGAGAGGAAGAGAAAGCTGCTTTCCAGACGACCAGCTGGCAGCTGCAGCACAGGCATCCCGGACCCAACCCCCACCTTCCTCCCCATTCTATTCCATTCCCACCCCTCCCTCCACTCACATTCCCACCCCTCCCTCCACTCACATTCCCACCCCTCCCTCCACTCACATTCCCACCCCTCCCTCCACTCACGTTCCCTCTCCTCCCCTCCCCTCCTTCCTCTTCCCTCCCACTCCTCCCCCTTCCCTCCCCCCAACGACCATCCAGTGTGGGCAGTGCAGGGGAAACCTCCTTTGAGCAAGCTGTAAGGGAGCGCCTGCGCACCAAGGCCTTCACGTTCGACCCGTTTCTGGATGACCAGCAGGCAGCAGCACTGCGGGCCAAGCACCTCCTGCGCTACATCCCCATCGGCCTGGGGGCGGGGAAACAGCTGTCGGCTCTGAGAAGGGGGGCGCCGGGGAAGCGGTTTGCGACTCTGGCTCAGCTGATGGGAAAGCTCAACCACTCACATATCGACGTGCTGAAGGTGTGTGGGCGTGTGTGTGTACTGAAACGCCTTACATGAGCCCAACCCAACCCAAGCATCTCCTGCGATACATCCCCATTGGGCTGGGCGCGGGGAAACAACTGTCTGCATTGAGGAGAGGGGCGCCGGGGAAGCGGCTTGCCACGCTGGCCCAGCTGATGGGGAAACTCAACCACTTACATATTGATGTGCTCAAGGTGGGTGGCTGTACTGAGACACCTTATAATGGGGACATAAATCGATGGTTACAAGCGATGTATGTACTGGCATGACTTATATCAGCCCAAGCGCCTCCTGAGATACATTCCCCTCTTCTGCTTCCTTCTCCTTCCTTCTCATTCCTTCTCCTTCCTAATGCCCCTTCCACTGCCCCTTTTTCTGCTCCGATCTCTGCTTCTTTTCAAGACCCTGTTCCACTTGCCCTCTCCCCTTCTCTCTGCCCCTTCCTCTCCCCTCCCCTCAGATTGACTGAGCACTGTGAGGAGCGGCTGATGGAGTGTCTGCTCAACACTAACCCTTTCCATCAGTCGTTCCATGAGAATGAAACCTTCCCTTTCTCTGCCCCTCTACCTCCCCTCTCCACCCCCCTCAGATTGACTGTGAGTGCTGTGAGGAGCGCCTGATGGAGGATCTGCTCAACACTCCCCTGTTCCGTCAGCTCCTTTGTTCCACGCGTCCCTTCCCATCAAAAGTTTACTTGCTCTCTGTTGACCCTGTTGTTGCCCATTTCTCTCCCCCACTCTCTCAGATTGACTGTGAGCGCTGTGAGGAGCGCCTGATGGAGGATCTGCTCAACACGTTTGGCAAGGAGAATCCGCCGGCAGATCAAATCCTAGTGGAGATCCACCAGTGAGTCACTCGCTACAGTGCCGTTAATGCAAATCCCGTACCCGAAGCCCTGGGTGACACTTTATGTTAAATTCCATATACACATGAACATATGTGATAGGTGTTTCTACCTGAGTCCCCTAATTGCAGAAGCATGAGTTTGCTCATACTCTATATCCCCCGTTCCCCCGTTCAATCAGGATTCGCCACGTGGGCAGGACCACGCAAGTCCTTTTCCCATTGGAGGACATGGGTTACCGCCTCTTCAATGCAGAGGCCAACCCACGCTGCAACACCTGCTATGAACTCTCTTTTGTTCACGAAAACTTCTTGAAACCCAAGTCCATGTTCCCAACTCCTGATCCACCTGCTACTGCTGGTGACGCTGGTGGGGATGCTGCTGTTGATCCCTCGGCTGATTCTGCCGAAGCTGCTGCTGATGCTGCTGCTGATGCTGCTGCTGATGCTGTTGCTGCTGCCGCTGCAGATTCTGCTGCTGAAGAGGCTGCTGGTGATGCTGCTTCTGGTGACAATGCAGGGGGTGAAAACCAATAACTGATTAGATTTGATCTGCCATTGACTTCCCCCCTGTACACCTACCGGTAGGTTGTTTTTCCCAATTGGCTTTTTGTTTCACTAGCTGCAGTCACAAAACGTTGCAGGCTAAGATTGTAATACCGAAACCACCTTTATGCAACAGAGGCTTTCTAATACACCAGTCGAGAGCTGCATTAGTGAAGCAGTGTATGTATGTCATTGCACAAAGCTGTTGCCAACAAGTACGCTAGTTGGTGTATCACACAGCTCATCAACGGTTAGAGCGGGTGGCGTTGAGCATTTGTAAGACTCCATTACCGAGGAGGCCAATAGCGAGAAACTGCTTCCTTCCCCTTTCAGCGTGCCATCAATCCTGCCCAGCTTCGGGATTTCTGTACTGACAGCTTTCGCGCCTCCGTTTGCCGACAGAATCCATGGATGCGAGAGAACCCCATCAATGCTCAGTCTCTTCGTCGGATCAACCTCCATCATCCGACGGACGAGATCCTTCAAACTGATCGACACGGACGGCCAAGGACTGACGGCGAAATCGATTGGCAACAACTCCCTTTGATCGTCAGGAAAAGCGGGCCAGTCGGCACATACCATCATGTAAAGAACCACGCCAAGAGACCAGACGTCGGCTTTAAGGCCATGACCCTGACACGCAAGCACCTCGGGCGCCTCGTACGGATAGCTTCCGACCACGTTTCTCAATTCTTCGCCGTCGCGAATCTGTTGAGCCAATCCGAAGTCGCCAATTCGAACCTCGATATCTTCAAGCCCGCAATTGGACTCAAGATGTTTATCGCCCGACTCGGAGGGAGTATTGCGAGAATTGGAAATGGTAGTAGCTTGTTGATGCTGGGCTGTCAGCGCAGATATCGGTACGGAGTTAAGGGCCTTGGATGACGTCAACAGGATGTTTTCGGGTTTAATATCGCGATGGGCTACGTTGAAGCGGTGACACCAGCGGAGCCCTCGAGCAATCTGAAAAAAGATGTGTCTCGCGGACAGTTCATCCAGGCCGTTGGTTTCCGCGATGAGATCGAACAGGTCGCCACGCGTGCAGAGATCCTTTATCAGGTAAAACGCATCGTCGTCCTCGTAAGCGTCGTGAAGGGAAAGTACATTCTTGTGGCCCGATAGTAGAATCATTGTAGTAATCTCGTTGTAAACTCCCTCGATTTCGAGGGAGGAAAGTCCTGACTTGAGTATCTCCTTGCACGCGTGAAGACTCCCTGAGGTTCGGTCGACGCATCGCCGTATCTTTCCCGAATTACCTTCACCAATTATTCCAGAAAATGTGAAACGTTTCCGCATCGCGCGAGCAGACGGCAGGTAATGCTCCATTTTTCAGGCTTACGCTGGACTCGCAAGATGTTGTCTGAGAATGGGAATGAGGGATGTCGACGGGAGGTAACAAGGAAATTCGACGCAACGATGCTATCACTATGCTCATTGCCGAATAAGCTGCTGATATTTAGGAAGTTTGAAATGGCACGAGCGGAACGGAATAGCCGAGCTCCCTGTCGGGCGAGAGACGGAATCGTCACATTCCATGGCTGTCGTATCTTGGGAGAAGAGACGAGATCAGAGGCGCACAGGGTTAGCGCTTGAAGCGCCGCTGATTGATGCCCTTTAGCAGTGAGCAAGCATTTTTCCTCGAACCTTTCTATCTGGCGGCCAGCTTGCATATCTTGAACACAGCCTGTCTCATGGAAGTGTAGGGCTGGCGTGTCTGATCGTTAACGTTCGTTTCCGCTCGTTACCCGACCCAACCGTTCCAGATGTTTATTTGACCTCTGTTTGCTGAGCTGAACTGTTTGGGGAGTGAGGTCGCTCCAAGGGGACTGAGGTGGAGGAGGAAGCGGGAGGGTTTGGGCATTACACTACTTTCTGCAATTGTTTTGCGGTCTGCCTGTGGACAGAAATCAGATTTTGCCTCACAGCAATTTGGGATAGGGGCAGCAATGCTAGCGAAAGACGTTTCTCTTGTGTCGTTCTTGGGCGGCTCAAAAAGTGGAGAAGGAAGCGTCCATTTCGTATCCGACAGCAAGAAAATTTTCCAAACGCCAGGACCACTTTGGGCCTTCGATTGACAGGTTGTGAACACCTTTCAGAAGTCTTCGCTTGAAGCCCATGGCATCCTCCTTTGTGGTAATCGAGCACCAAAGAATATTGTACTCTTGAATGAGATTCAGTTATGGCATTTTGATGAAAATCAGGCATGATGTATGCATTGTAGTTGTCATGGGAAATGGCAGGAGCAGCACCAATGAACTGTTGGTGCTTTATTCTTGCCTTCAATGCAAAACTCCCCTTATTGAAACTCCCCCGGGTCTGCAGCACTATCCGTTCAGCTAGGCAATATATGAATAATCAAGCAGCTGTGCGCAGAGTTCCCCCAATTCTGTCCAAAACCGCGGCACGGTCTCCACCGTTGTTCAAACCATCACCCTCATCCTCCACGTCAGACTGATCCACATCCAGAAACTGCTCCTCGTGCTCTTCGGGAGTGGGCTGCTCCCTGCCGAAAACGGCGAATTTGCAATCCGCGCGGAGAATGTCGGACACTTGGTAGTCTTCAGGGGAACCTTGAATCTTACTGTTCCAAACCGAATTCGATCCCTCTGTCTGCCTAGATTCCTCAGACCCTTGCTGCTGCTGCTTCTGACCCGAGGTCGAGATCCCGTCTGCATCCTGTTCAGCGCGGACGGTGTCAGTTAAAAGAGCCGATATCACCGAATAGTCAAGGTTAGTCCCTTCCTCCATAGCTTCATCGCGATACATTTGCCCCAGGACGCCATGCACGTCCATGGAATAATGAACCTGCTCCAGCTCGAGGTTCAGATGCACCATCGCGTCGCCGTCGCGCTGCAGCAGCGGGTGCGCGGCGCGCACGCGGATCTCGGCTTCCAGAAGGCCCTCGATGCGGATCGTGTACTTGTCCACGTCAGCACTGCCCGGACCCGACTTCTCGTGCGCGTCCATGGTGACGATGGCTTGGCCGTCGAAGAGCGAGAGCTCGTCGCCGAGCTGCTTGGGCGAAAGAGAGAGAGAGAGAGAGAAGGAACGAGAACCGGGGAAAGCGGATGAGACAACCGGTAAGTGGTGTGTGGTGGTAAATTTCAGGGTATGTTATTTCATTGCCAGGACGCGTGAGTTGCGCATGAATCAATTATTTAAGAGAATACTCACCATGAGCCTGGGAACAAGTGTTCCGTCAACTTCCAAGGCGGCCAAGTAGCCCTCCCCCCGCGCCTCTTGCGGCCCGCGGCGCGACACGAACCGCATAGTGTGCACTGGCCTGTCCCTTCCGCCCTTTCCAGTGCTCTCCTCGCCTGCGGCCGGCGCTTGCCACACGAACCCGAGCTCGCGGATCCAGACACGTGGAGTGGGCTGATTGGCGGGGTTGGCGAGCGTGGTGCGGCGGTCGAGGTAGCCGCCGAGGCGCATGTTGATGTGGAGCTCGGGATCGGAGAAGAGGCAGAAGGAGCGCTCCGGGAGGGAGGTTTGTAGAGACGAGGAGATGGCTGGTAAGTTCTTCTCCTTTTTGGGAGCATCGCCGTTGCACCGACCACCGACACTGCAATGACAGCACAGAAAAGGAGGTATACATTAGAACCATTGCGGCAGTGCATCATGCAATGAAGCCGCGAAGACGGAGCTTGAGGGAAGAGGAAACAGCGGCAAGAGTTGGAATGATAGCCGAGATACGCGCAACGTACTATGAGTTCGGGTCCTTGGGCGTGTAGACAGTCCTCTTAATTTCGGCCGAGTTGTCGCTGCTACACAGGCTTGCGGTGTAGAGGTAACACAACCCATTTTCAACGAAGTAGTTCCAGTAACTGCAGTTGGCCTGTTCTCGGCACTTGTTGCAGCAATCGGCGGGTTGAGCCGCCTTCCCAAGCCTCAGCCCGCCTCGAGCTGCAGGCAACTGAAATTTCTTGGAAGAGGAAACATTGAACTTCCCGCGGAAAACATAATGGCCGCAGGTTCCGCCGCTGCAGGCTGCTTGAGGCTCCGCGAATGACGGACAGCTTGCTGCGGACGACGTTCTGATTGATGCTAAGGTTGCCAAAAGGGCCACGATCAAAACAAAGAACCGGACTGTGCTAGCAGTGACTGCCATCTTGCTTCGACGAAGGCCAATTATGGCAGGCGTAAGTCGCTCGATATAGGCCTTGAAGGAAGAACTCGCCGTCGGTATAGGGCGTAAGTTACTGATGCAGGGCTCGCCCTTCCGATTTATCTGCTGCTGATTCGGCTTGATCGGTGTTGGGTCAATCAGTCAGCAGCACAATCATCAGGATGAGCCCAACGTTCATTGAGCATCGGGCATGGGATGTCCTTGACTGCTCGGTGATCGTTGGTTTGCGATTTGCAGTTTCCGCGGCTCGTCCTCCTGCGCTGCGGGTAGTGAACAAGCACTGGAGGTGCATCCAATTCGTGAAATTCCCAACCGAAGTTTGGAAATGGAATTGTGCGGGCACGCGCAGCAAATATTTGAAATCTTGCCATGACGAAAATTCACAGTCGGCGTAGACGATTAAAAATTCGTCCGCGCAAAATCGATTCAGTTTGTGCAGCCTCGATACAGCGTTTAGTAGTTTTTAGCTGGGTGAGTGGATGGTGAATAGCTTAGCGTATATTGTACACTCGAAGCCACCACCAAGCAGACTTACTGCATTAGCGAAGCCAGCTCCAGAAGATTCTGTCAGTACCATCTAGCTTTTATTGGACCCCCAGACCCACGTCAGCCTGCCACTTCGCTGTCCATCCAATTAGAGTCTGTTCCCCCACGAATCCCAAGGCTGCCCGAGACACCTCTCCTTCTCCACAGGAGGTGCAAAAATTTCTATCCACGGGAACACAAAAGTGCGTGCGTGGCTGGATAATCATCCACACCAGCAGTGATCCCACCCACCACAACCTCGCTTCCCTTTCCCTGCCCGCGTCCACCCAGATCAGCCGTCTGCGATTGGTCGATCGTCAAACTTGTGCCAGGAGAGAGGGAATGAAGACTCCTCGGCTTTTTGAGATGCTGCTGCTGGCCGCTACTCTTGCCTTGAGAGAGAGAATCCTTGGGCTTTCCCTCTGCATTTCCGCAGGCACATCCGAGGATTTTCCAGTGACAATCTCGAGGTCAGTCCGGCTCGTTCAGTTTCCCTTCTCAAGGAGTCTGTTAAAACAAGCAAGCGCATAGAAGATCTCTCGTCGCTCGGAAACGCTTGCTTCCCTTGCAGATCTCAGAGTATATTCATCAGTCTTATTTTCCTCTGTCAGTTCACTGCGTCTTGGTTGTACCTGGCCAGAAATCCATCGTTGGTAGTCTCCGGCGATGGAGACGAGCTGCATCTCCAGGTTGTCCGCATCCGGAGTCTTTCCGAGTCAATGTGCTGTTCCGTCTGCTAACAGAGCGGTAGAACTGAAAACTCTCAGAACACAGGCAACCCTGCGGAATGTAAGCATTTCTAAGTTCACTAGGCCTGCGAGGTCAAGTCCAGGTCCACGTGGCATGTCTCCGCCTACAAAAGGTCACTGTAGGCTTATGGCCGTCCAATCATCGCATCCGAATGTCACAGCCAAAGATGCGAGCCCTTCCCAGCCGTTCGGTTCTCTAAGATCAACGGTGGCCACTGCTGTGGCTGCTGTGGTATCCGCTGCTGCGGCATTCCGGGACGCGGCAGAAGCAGTTCCAATAAACGTACAAGAAACCGCTCAGCAAAGACACGCGGAGGAGGAACGGCTAGAAGCATCGTTTTTCGACAGTGTCCGAGGCAGAGCGTCACCGTCACTATTGTCACTCGCTGCCATGTCAGCAGCGCCGCTGGCCTGTTCCATCAAGAGCTCTCTGGCGACTTTCTTCTCCAACCTTCGCGCGAACCCCACATTTATGTCGGCTCTTATCGCGTGGGCCCTCGCGCAAATCCTCAAGGTAAGCCGCACAACTCGTTAAGTTTTAAAGATTAGTAGGCCTCAAATCTTGTAAATGCGCAAACTCGTTAGTGCATTGTTCAACAGTGCCCATATGCACACATATTCATGTTTCAGTATATTTCAACAGTGCCCACATGCACACATATTCATGTTTCACGCAATAATGAATGCCAAGGAAGAAGCCCTGCATTCACAACGAGCGGCTTAAAGGGAATAACTTATTCATTGTCAAGCAAAGAAATCAACCATAAGTTGTTCGTTTTCTCATGCCATGAGTGACAAAGAGCACATTTGCCTAGTTCTCAGTCGCTCAGGAGAACTACTTCTCTTCTGGAACTTTGCATGACATTTGCCCCGCCTACTCCGCCAGTCACCCTTACCATCACCCTTCCGACATTCGCCCGGTCTGAGAATGTCAGATGCTTTGCCCACCACCTCTTAATCCCACCTTCGTTTTACCCTTACCATTTCCGATTGTTCTTCCCCCGAATCCTTCCATCCCTCAACCATTTCCCGCTGCAGGTGTTCACAAACCTTTATTTCAAAAAGACGTTCGACATTCGAATGGTTGTGTCGTCAGGCGGCATACCCTCGTGTTTCGACTCGCTAAAATAAGCCCTCCATCCCTCAACCATTCACCTGCTCCAGGTGTTCACAAACCTCTACTTCAAAAAGACGTTCGACATCCGAATGGTTGTGTCGTCAGGCGGCATGCCCTCGTCGCACACCGCGCTCTGCGTCGCCGTCACCACCTCCGTCGCCCTGCTGCACGGCGTGGGGGGGCCGCTGTTTCCCATCTGCCTCGCGTTCTCGCTCATCATCATGTATGACGCCACCAACGTGCGCTACCACGCCGGCGTGCAAGCAGAGGTACGTACAAGCAGAGCATACCCCATCTGTCTCGCGTTCTCCCTTGTGATCATGTATGCCGCTAACCACGCTGGGGTGCAAGCAGAGGTACGCTCCTTGCTGCTGCTGCACAGCAGGATTCAAAGCAGACACCTGAGCAATCATTGCAGTGTAAACATAACCATACTCAGTGATGTTATATGACGTGCAGAATTACAGAAGCAGAGATGCGTGTCAGGTGGGTGGGTGGTGTTGCATGCACCACCGGTGGTGTTCCTGCAGAGTAAAGTGACAAAACCAAACAAGTGAACTCCCAGCAAGACAAAAGGCAATTGAAATTATGTTCCTCATGAAGGGCAAACTCGTGTTGAGGAGTTGGCTTTAGCAGATTATCGATAACTGATTTTCATACACAGTGCCTGAAAAAGCCAGGAACAGTCTCCCTGGATTCACCAGCCACAGTATGTACGCTTTGTTCTTCATCCACCGCGCTTCATCCATTGCCGTCGCCCACTTTCCGTGCCTGCTTCCCAGGTTCTGAATGTGGTGGTGGAGGAGATGCTGGAGGGCCATCCAATCAGCGAGAAGAAGCTGAAGGAGCTCCTGGGGCACACTCCCTTACAGGTGGTTGGAGGCTTCATCCTTGGTGTTGTTACGGCCTTTGTTTACCATTACAAGACAGGACAAATGCATGGGTGGGCGTGAGACAGGTACCAGTAAGAGTGAACAGGAATGTGGATACCTAGTTTGGGGGATGAAAGTCTGTGAGACGCCCCCCGCATGCTGAAATAATTGGGTTATACCTAGTGCTTTCACGGTTTTGTTTGTGTGAAAACTAGATTGTGCTTTCCAGCTAGTGCCACCCCTAAATTCAATGAAGTAAATTCGCCTCAATATATCAAACATTGTGTATGAAAACAAAGGTAAATGAGTGCACTAGTTGAATATGTGTTGTTGAGCGAGTGGGCTTGATTCGGAACAGCCGCCACGTCTCTTGTTTCTCCCACGTCCTTGTGGCACCTTGAACATCGTACCTTTCTCTACGGGATACACGACAAGTGGAATATGTGAAATAAGCAAACAACATCTGACGGCCAGGAAGACACATCTCCTAGCCCCGCGCCACCTCCTCAAGCCTTAATGCGATTCGTATGGAAAGCAGCGACTCGGCAGTGGAAAATGTCTACATGTCCTTGCCGTGGGGTTCTTTGATTGGGCTGGCCACAAAAAATCTCCCAAGCCCAACCGAGCCAACCGATACTATTGCTTCCAAACCGTATGGAACCGATGTCTCACCAACTACAAAAACCCACACATATCTCTATCGTACCTGCTGTATGCGCACTAGCTTGAACCGAACCGATTCTTGTCGTCACGGTATGGCATGGCACCCGCACATAGCATACCCATTCATTCCGTACACACCCCTCATCCTGGTTTTGTTCCCGCCGCGTCCGACACCTGCAGTAGTACAGTGCGACACGCTCCTGCACTCTATTTGTAAAGGCTTTTATTACACGCGGAAGTTGCCTGTTCTGGCCTGTGGATGGTCGCCACGGGAGTTCCCTAGACGTAGCGCGTCGCAGCCAATCAGTCAAGCCGATTTTCACAGCCAGCTGGCGTGGCGTGCAGTACAATCACTCGTATCGGACCGCTTCGCTGCGAGCGTAAAAAATATGACGGAGGGAGATTCCATGTTCTTATCAGTGCCATGCCATAGTTCTGGTGACTATCAGCGAACATTCAAAGCAGGAAAGTTTGTTTGGATTGGTGATTTTACGTCATTTAGTAAGCATTTTCGAGATAGCTCTAGCTTACCTAGTCCTTGCTAGTTTCACGCCGTTCCTGTCTTTGCCCCCTCTAGTTAACCATACCTTAGTGCCACCTCGTTCCTTCGAATGCAACCGGCTTCTATGACGCGTAACCGGCTTCGCTTCGTAGTAAAGCTAACGGCCGCCGTCAGCGCTGTCGCTCTCGCATCTCTCTTTCTCCCAGTGACGTCGGAATCTGCTCAGAATGCAAATCAGCCGCAACAGCCGCCACAACAGGCGCCGCGATGGACGCCGCGTGATCCGCAGCAATGGACGGCGTGCAACTACTCCACGGGGTGGTGGATTCGCAAGCCACCATCGGCGCCGTATCGGTCGACATGCCCCTTCCTCCAGGTGGGGAGTTTAAACATGAGTCGACTTAAAAGTCAACTCCGAGTCGAGGTGGCGGATCCGCAACGTGTAGAGAGGGTGTTTTTGAGACGTCTCAAAAACACCCTCTCTACAAGTCGAGGTGGTGGATCCGCAAGCCGCCATCACCGCCAACGGCGCCGTATCGGTCGACGTGCCCCTTCCTCCAGGTGGGGAGCCATGGGTCTTCTGACAACGCCATTTGCGATGGCACACGTGGCACCCATACTATCTGTATCATACGTGGTACCCTCCAGCGCAAATGGCACCTCTAGACTCCCGAACCATCCTCTCCTCCTCCCCTCCCACCCTGCCCTGCTCACCTTTCCCTCCCCCTCCCCGCCCCCATCGCACCGCACCCCTCTCCCTCCCTCTACCTCCCTCCCCTCGTCTCCCTCTCTCCATAATTTTCCTCCCCTCTCCTCCCCCCACCTCCCTCCGCATTTCCATCAAGGCGTGGGAGCTGTGAATTGCATCAACCGTTCCCTGCTTTCCTCCCCTCTCCCCGCTTCCCCCAACTTTACCCCCGGATCTCCCTTCCCCCGCCTCCGCATTTCCATGAGGACGTGGAACCAGTGAATTGCATGAACCGCCATCTCTTTCCGCCCATCTGTTACCTGATATCTTCCCCTTCACCCCTCTCGCGTCCCCCCCCCCCCCTCTTCCCCCTCACCTCCGAATCTTCATAAGGGCGTGGGACCCGTGAATTGCATCAACCGTTCCCTACGGCCCTCGCTTTCCTGGCTGGTAAGTCCAATCTCTGGCGGTAAGAGCGACGCAATGTGAGGGTGTTCGTGTGTGGAGGCGAATTTTGAGTCGACTCAAAGGTCACGGCCCTCGCTTTCCTGGCTGGTGAGACCAATCTGGCCAGGTAAGTGGACCTGGCTGGGTGTTCCTGGCTGGTGAGACCAATCTGTGGGAGTAAGAGCGTCTAGATGCGAGGGTGTTCGTGTGTGGAAGGTGGGCATGTGAGAAGGGTTGGAGAGGAGAGGAAAGGAGAGGAAGGGAGAGGAAAGGAGAGGAGAGTCATCTGCACAAACACAATCGATTAGATAATATCATGGCCAGTGCGGCTTACCAATATTCCGTTTATGTCTCTTTCGACTTCTCCCCTCCTGCAGAGTTGTTTCCCCCTCTCTCCCCACTATCTCTCCTCCCTCAGGGTTATCGCTGGTGGCCTGCTGCTTGCCAATTGACTGTCTGCCAATCACCTCCCCACAACTTCACCCCACCCCCTTCGGTCCCTTTTTGAGACGTCTCAACAATCACCTCCCCACCCCACAGCTTCAACCCCCCCCTTCGGTCCCTCCCTCAATTTCCCGCCTCCCCCACCTCCCCCTCTCTCCCTGCTCAGGGTTATCGCTGGCGGCCTGCCACGTGTCAAGTGCCAGCGTACGGTTTCAGGCCGTACCACTTCCTGGAGATGATGCGGAACAGGTTAGATGACACGGAACAGGTGAGTTGATGCGGAACAGGTGAGGGAAGCATGCAAGGGACGAATGAGATGACACGCCAAGGTCTAGTGTTCAGCCAACCTAACTCACTCTCCTTTTTCCAGGTTATGTTGTCCACATTGCTAACTGGAAAAGCCTTTGATTTCTTTGTTCGTGTGCTTCCATTCCACCAAACCTGCTTCCACCAATCCTGCTTCCACCAATCCTGCTTCCACCAAACCTGCTTCCACCAAACCTGCTTCCACCAAACCTGCTTCCACCAACCCTGCTTCCACCAAACCTGCTTCCACCAAACCTGCTTCCACCAAACCTGCTTCCACCAACCCTGCTTCCACCAAACCTGCTTCCACCAAACCTGCTTCACCAAACCTGCTTCCACCAAACCTGCTTCCACCAATCCTGCTTCCACCAAACCTGCTTCACCAAACCTGCTTCCACCAATCCTGCTTCCACCAATCCTGCTTCCACCAATCCTGCTTCCACCAATCCTGCTTCCACCAATCCTGCTTCCACCAAACCTGCTTCCACCACCAACCCTCACTGCCTCTTCTGCTGCCTTACTTCCCCTCTGATCCCATGTGTCATGTACGTCACTCTCCCTCCCTCTTCTGGCTATACTATATGCACGTGACTGTATTGTGTAAACGTGACTGTATCCAGAGTGATAGCATCGGTTGGCGATTCTCTCTCCTATCAGAATCTCATGCCCTCGCTGCTGTGCCACATTCACGGCGCCTCACCTGTCACTGAGATTCAAAATTATGCATATGTGTCACTCTCCCTCCCATTGTTGTGACTGTATCACGTGCACGTGACTGTATCCAGAGTGATAGCATCGGTGGGCGATTCTCTCTCCTATCAGAACCTCATGCCCTCGCTGCTGTGCCACATCCACGGCGCCTCACCAGTCACCGAGATTCCCAATGATGGGTCGCTGGCCATACAGCACAAACGGAGCAGAGTATATCGAGTACAGGCATACAACGTTACACTTATAAACACGTGGAGCACGTTTCTTAACGAGTACTGGCAAGACGAGCAGGTGGGCAGCCTGTGTGTTTATCCATCTACTGTCTACATCAATAGACATGTTGCTTACATAAGCATGATGCTTACATAAGTATGATGCTTGCATAAGCATGTTGCCTGCATAAGCATGTCACTCACCCCCTCCCACCCCTTATTTCCGACGCCCCACACCTGCAGACCCTCTCGCGCTACAGTGGCGGCAAGAATCGCACGGACGAAGATTCGGTGATCAATCTGGACGGCGTCGATCCGGCGCTTGCCGCCCGGGTGACTAAATACGACGTGCTTATACTGCAGACCGCCGCGCACTGGCAGGCCAAGCCTAATAAATGGCGGCGGTACTTTGTGGATGGGAAGGGGAGGCTGGTGTTCACCGAACGGCAATACATTGCTGCTTTCGAGTAAGTGTGGCTGTTACTTAAGTGAAAGCAAGTATGTAAGACCCCTTATACTGCAGACCGCGGCGCACTGGCAAGCCAAGCCCAGTAAATGGCGGCGATACATTGTGGACGGGCAGGGGAGGCTGGTCTTTACCGAACGACAGTATATTGCCGCTTTCGAGTAAGTTCAGCTGTTACTCTTGTAAGTGTAAGTATATAAGACCCCCTATACTGCAGACCGCGGCGTACTGGCAGGCCAAGCCTAACAAATGGCGGCGGTACTTCGTGGATGGGCAGGGGAGGGTGGTGTTCACTGAACGGCAGTACATTGCCGTTTTCGAGTAAGTGGCGTTGAGGATTGGGAAGCAAGGCAGGGGAGAGGGCTGGGCAAGGGAGGGCAGAGCAGGGCAGGTAGTTCTCTGTTTGCCGTAGTGGTGTTCACTGAACGGCGGTATATTGCCACTTTCGAGTAAGTGGTGTTGAGGATTGGGTAGAGGGTAGAGCAGGCGAGGGCAGGGCAGGGTAAGGCAGAGCAGGGCAGGTAGTTCTCTGTTTGCCGTAGTGGTGTTCACTGAACGGCAGTACATTGCCGCTTTTGAGAAAGTGCAGACTCACATACCAGCAATTATTCACTTCATGCCTGCTGCTCTCTGCCTCCTCCCTCCCCACCGCCCTTCCCCCAACTATCCCACCTCCAACCTGTCTCCCATGCCTGTTCTTCCCTTCCCCCTTTCCCCCAACAGACGAGGCATGCGGGACATAACAGCTCTGTTAGATCGGGCCGACCCTGACACCCCACCTGCTGCACGCATGGCAGGTGTGTTTTGAGTCGACTCAAAAGCCAGCCCGCCTGTCCCCCCTGCCAATCCCCACCCCTCATGCTGCAGACGAGGCATGCGGGCCGTAACAGCTCTGTTGGATCGGGCCGACCCTGACACCCCCCCTGCTGCACGCACGCCCGTGCCCCTTCTTCCTCTCTGTTCCCCAGTCCCTATGATGACTCCCCCCCCTGTTCCCATGCCTGTTATTCTTTTCCCCTTTTTCCCCCAACAGACGTGGCATCAAAACAACTCTGTTGAATAAGGCCGACCCCGACACCCCCCCTGCTGCTGCCCAGCACGCCCGTGCCCTTCTTCCTCTATGTCCCCCTCTTCTCTTTCTCTCCAACCCCATTAACCGACAGACGTGGCATGAGGGCCATAGCGAATCTGCTGAACCAAAGTGACCCTGACACCCCCCCTGCTGCACGCACCCCCGTGCCCTTCTTCCTCTCTGCGCCCGCCAAGATCAACCGCTGCAAACGACACTCGCAGCCCCTCACAAATGCCCAGGTAGGTTCAGTGTGGTGCCGCGCAAATCCGGTGTAATGTACTGCGGTGCAGTGTGGTGCAAGACGATAAGGGTGGTTGGTTTTGTCTCCACGCCCGTGCTTGTCTTTCTCTCTGCGCCCGCCAAGATCAACTGCTGCAAACGACACTCGCAGCCCCTCACACACGCCCGTGTAGGTTCATTGCGGTGCAATGCAGTGTGACGTGGTGCGGTGCTGTGTAGTACAGTGTAGGATGGTTGATAAGCAGTATCACAACTGCTTGTATTCTGCTTTTTCCACACACCCTCCCCCAACCCTTGCTGCCACCTCAGGTTCTTCAAACTCGTTATAAGATTCCTCAGTACACTCGGTGGCTACCCGCACAACAGCGGGCAGTAGCAGGCACGCGAATCCGCCTTCTGGACGTCACCTCCTCCACTCTCTACCGGCCAGACTCCTTTGTGGGCTCTGGTGGGGTGAACAACGACTGTGTGCATTTCTGCCTGCCTGGTGTGCCTGATTCGTGGGTTGACATGCTTCATAATATGTTCTCTAGGCAAGCTATTTTCCGGGTTCCTAAGGGTGCTTCAGTCCAGTAGCCCAGGCACACAGAGGGCTGGTGGTGGAGTGAGTAGCGATTGTGCTCACTTCTGCCTGCCTGGTGTGCCCAACTCATGGATTGACATGCTTCGTAACATGTTCTATAGACAAGCTGTTCTCCGGGTCCCTAAGTGCGCTCCAGTAGTGTAGGCACACAGAGGGACTGGCGGGGTGAACAACGACTGAGTTCATTTCTGCCTGCCTGGTGTGCCCGACTCATGGGTTGATATGCTTCATAATATGTTCTCCAGGGAAGCTGTTTTCCGGGTGCGCAAAGGTGCTCCAGTCCAGTAATGTCCTTTAGGGGCGAACAGTTATTGTGCCTACACTTGCTGGTTTGCCAAAGTCGTGGGTTGACATGATTCATAATATGCTTTTTGTCAGAATGTTATGATCTAGCCTGTAGTGGGGTGCTCTATAGCGAGTACAACCCATCTAGGGTTTGCTATATGTATCCTCATTGCTGCTAGTGAAACCCTTCTTCTTGCCTAAACTTTCTCTTGCCTAGCTAGGGTTCTCCTAGCTATGGCTCCTAATTCTACCTACTATCTTCACATGCTATCAGAGCGGTCACGCTCCTGGCCTGTGGGCCCACCTAACAGCTTCCGCTGCTGTTCTCTGTGTCGCGCGCCCCGTGGCGCGCGACGGATTTTTCTTCCCGCCACGCGCTCGTGCGCGCGGCGGTTTTCTGCTCGCCGTGCGCACGGAGCGCGCGGCGGTTTCCTGCCCGCCGTGCGCCCCGGGGCGCGCGGCGGTTTCCCCCCGTCGTTTCCCTCCCGTCGCCTGCTGCAGCTCGCCCAACGCCTGCAGCAGACCCCCCCGTCGCCCCCGCTGCCCCGTCGCGGCGCCCTGGGAAGCGCGCGCGACGCCTGCTGCCCCGTCGCGGCGCCCTGGGGAGCCGTGCGCGGCCCCCCCCCGCTCGTCGCGGCGCTCTGGGGGGCCATGCGCGGCCCCGCTGCCTCGTCGCGGCGCCCTGGGGAGCCGCGCGCGACCCCGCAGCCACGTCGCGGCGCCCTGGGGAGCCGCGCGCGACCCCCCGCTGCCCCGTCGCGGCGCCCTGGGAAGCCGCGCGCGCCCCGCCCGCTGCCCCGTCGCGTCGCCCTGGGGGAGCCGCGCGCCCTCCCCCGAATCGCCCCCGAATCGCCCCCTCCCCCCCCCCCCATTCTGCCTCTGTTAGGGTTTGGGGGTGGCGAGTGTGGGGGTGGCGCCTATGGGGGTGCTGGCTGTGTGCTCCGTCCCCTGCTCCTCCTCCTCCTCCATCTCCCACTGCTGCAGCTGTCGCTGAGGGGGGTGGGTGTGTGGGAGCCGAAGGAGTGGTGCTAGGGGGGTGCCGTGGGAGTGGAGCTAGGGTTTCAGCAGGGGGTGTGTGAGAGGGGGGTGGGACGGTCGGGGGAGGTTGAGCGGAGGCTGCCGTCTTGTCGTCAGCAGCACCTGTAGTCCGGGGCGCTGTTCCGGTAGCCCAGTCGTAGCCAGCTGCGCCAGTCGCCCGTGGGTCCGTTGCTCGTCTGCCGCACTTAGCCGCGGAGCCAGTTACTCCTGTAGTCCGGGGCGCTGTTCCGGTAGCCACTGTGCCAGTATGACTCCTGTTGCCCGTGTGTCTGCAGCTTCAGCCGTCGCCTCTTATCTCCTCTCCTCCCACAGTTTCTCCTCCTCCTCACTTGCCCTTTGTGAATGCCTCTAGCTTTGCTGGCCCTTGTGCACCTGCTCTGTGCTTGCTTATTGTGCTGATTACTGTCAGAGGTCCACTGGTGATCCCCGATTGATCCTAGGGAAGGGTTACAGGCACGTCGGCCTGGGGGGTTATGGGCGCACTCACCCGCTACACAAACAAGCCCTTTTATCCCAGTGGTTAGTGGCTGGGATTCTGACATGTTATCAGAGCGAAGGTCTCGGGTTCGAATCCCGGTGTGTGCACCTCGGGCATCCCAGTGCGGGGGGGTGTCAGAGGTCCACTGGTGATCCCCGATTGATCCTAGGGAAGGGTTACAGGCACGTCGGCCTGGGGGGTTATGGGCGCACTCACCCGCTACACAAACAAACCCTTTTATCCCAGTGGTTAGTGGCTGGGATTCTGACACTAATTACACCCCACTTTGGCTATGGGGGTGTGTCAGAATGTTATGATCTAGCCTGTAGTGGGGTGCTCTATAGCGAGTACAACCCATCTAGGGTTTGCTATATGTATCCTCATTGCTGCTAGTGAAACCCTTCTTCTTGCCTAAACTTTCTCTTGCCTAGCTAGGGTTCTCCTAGCTATGGCTCCTAATTCTACCTACTATCTTCACACTTTTCAGGCAAGCTGGGTGCTACAGTAGTGTAGGCATACAAAGACGTCTTCACCAGATGCATATAAAGGCTCTAAACAAGAGCCGTTTGTGACTTGTGTAAATAATAAATACACGTGTAACTGCCTGGTTATACACCGTTTGTGTGTGTATGATCTTCCACTTGGCGTGGCCGGCGGCGCTGCCACCACCTTTTAAAGAGTACAAACGCCAGTGAGGCAGCAAGCACTGCAGCCACTACAGGCAACGTGCGGCTTGGAAAGAGGCGGGAAAGAGGATTGAGACGAGAGTTGCTGGAGGAAAGTACTGGTATACTAGTACCTGGTTCAGAGGGTTTACTGGAAGGAGGGACGGCCCATATACGAGGGGGAGGATGGTGGGGAGAAGAGGATGGAGGGGGGGAATTAGGGGGAGAATCAGGGAGGGAATCAGGGGGAGAATCAGGAGAAGAATCAGGGGGGGAATCAGGGGGAGAATCGGGGGGAGGATTAGGGGGAGAATCAGGGGAAGAAGCAGGGGGAGAATCAGGGGGAGAATCAGGGGAGAATTAGGGGGAGAATCAGGGGAAGAATCAGGGGGAGAATCAGGGGGGGAATCAGGTCGAGAAGGGGATGGAGCGGAGTAATTAGGGGGAGGAGGGGGTGGAGAAGGGGGAGTTGGTGGGGAGGGAGAGGGGAGAGAAGTTGAGGATTTTTTGAAGCTTTTGGGGAGAATGGTGAAGGCAGCAACACCAGCAGCAGCTGTTGCTGCTATGACGAGGAAGAACCAGGGAGATGGGTTGGAAGGTTCCCTGCGGCTTCCATCACCACTGCTGCTGCCGCCGCCACCACCACCACCATCACCACCACCACCACCACTGCTGCTGCGGTTACCGACAGAACCGCCATAACCAGAAACATTACGATTCGCATCACCAGCACCACCGCCATCACCACTCCCAGCATTACCAACTCGAGCACGGGTAGAAGGGGGTGCAACGGACACGCATGCAGACTGACCGTTTGCACTCCGCGGAAGCGATGCTCCTGATGACCTGCCGGACCGTCTCCCTGCCCCTCGTTCCGTGACAGCAACGGGAGCGGCGATTACCGTTGCTAGCTGGTTGCTCTGGTGGCAGAAATGGCAGCACACCGCATCCCTGCTAAGACCAGTGGGCGAGTGAACGCTCGGTGCAGGTATTGCTGAGTATATACTCTTTATAGCGCGTACATCCCTTCCAGGAAGCATGTATCTCGTGCCCCTGGATTGGTGATGGGTCAGGGAGATTAACTCCGGGATGGCAATAACGCGGCATGCCGCTGCGGCTACTGTGGCATGCGCTCCCATCAGTATAAATATCGGACTATTGTCCTGGGGTAACTAGATGGCAATGTTAGGGCAGAGCGCCAAACGACAAAGTCCCTCAAGAGATTTGGATGTTAGGGAACCCAATAAGCATAGGTGCTAGTTGTTTGGGTTAGTAGAAATACTAGCCGGCGTGGGATCCTCAAACGGCGCTGACGTGGCATCTCAGTCGCGGTGCTGGTGACCTGGTTTAGAGCCACGCGGAGCGCCGCGCCTGCGTGGGCCTTGGGAGTACCGACGATGAGTGCTCGTAGCGCCATGGCAGGTACTAAGGACTAGAAACTTAGTACGCGTTGCGGGATTAGAGGAACGTATAGATACACAAGAGAGGAGCTGGATTGCGAGATGCGCGGCGTCTTTAGCGGCAGGTTGCTTGTTTAGGAGACGAAACGGTACGAAATGGCCATGTTGTTGGCTGCACGGTTCTTTCATGTATACGTACTCGTTATTCAGTCGCTCGTCTTTGTTAAAGAGGACGTCTCATAATTTTTCCGTTTTACATTTGGTTAGGTTTAACACTTGGTTGGCCTCCGTGACTGGTTGAAGAATCACAAAATTTGTGAATAGCTGGGGTCACGTTTCTGTCGAAACCAATCAGTGACGCGAGATTTCAACCAAGTGTTAAATGCTCGTAAATATGAGACGCGAGCTTTAAGAGCTGTATAATGTTTGCAGTGCAGCAGTAAAATGCTTCAGGAGATGAAGCGGTACAGATTGTCTCGTGGTGAAGCCCTCATTCTCATTCCCAAATTTGTACGCGTTTGTGTCTTCATTGGCTTAAATCCATGAAAAAGAACTCTCATGTCTTTCAAGTCTGTAAAACCGGAATCGTTACACACAACTTTCCAAAAAAATATTCTTGGGATTGTCGGCGGTGTTCTCCACGCGGAGGGCATCCGCACGGCATCGGCGGCATCCGTCTCATGTCATGTCAGCTCCCAAGACGACGACTGTGTGCATTTCTGCCTGCCTGGTGTGCCCGACTCGTGGGTCGACATGCTTCATAACATGATATTGTTAGAATAGTAGCCTAAGTAGACTAGGGTTTTGGGGTAAGAGAGTAGCGAGAGAAACGGAAGAAGAAGGGGGAAAAACACTAATGAGCAAGATACATGATATAGTTCAAGGGAAGGTGAGCACAGTGGTGCACCACCAAATAGTTAAGAACAATAACTGCAGTAACTACAGCACGCAGGATATATATTAAACATAACTTTGACACACCCCCTTAGCCTGCGTGCAGTAGAAACTGGTGCAGCCAGCACCCCCTGAACGAGCAAACCAAGCGCTGTGGAAGAAGGCAGAGAAGTGAGGAAGGTGAGAGGAGAGGAGAGAAGAGGAGAGGAGAGGAGAGGAGAGGAGGTGGGGGGCCAGGACCGGCGGACCCGCTTACGAACCTCCTTTTACAAAGGGGAGGTGAGAGAGGGAAGGGAGAGGAGGTGGGCTAGGCGGGCTTGAGCGCGAAAGCTCATAGCGATCCCCCCCCGTTAAGAACCCCCAAGTCCCGATGAGGAGAGGAGGTGGGCTAGGCGGGCATGAGCGCGCACGCTCAATGCGATCCCCCCCCGTTAAGAACCCCTTAGTCCTCACCCCCCTCGTCACTCAACCCCGTCAACCTCACACCTTCCGCACCTGTCTTCTCCCGCCACCCCCTCACCCTTCTGCACTTCTCTCCCCCCCCCCCCCCCCCCCCCCCCTACAGCAACAGTTGCTGCAGGGAGAGAGGAAGAGGGAAGGGAGGGAGGAGTGGCAGGCTCCTCACATCCGCCCCCCCCCCACAACCCCTTCCCCCTCCCTCCCCCCTCCCCACGACGGAAGCCGCGGAAGGGAGGGCGGGGGGGGGGGGGCGGCGGTAGCTGCTACTGGCGCTGGCGGCTGGCCGCGGCGCTGGCCTCCGCGCTGGCGGATTGCGGGGTGACGGGGGCGACGAAACGGGGGCCGCGTGGCGACGAAACGGGGGGGCAGCGGGCGACGGGCAGGGCGTCCGCGGGGCAGCCGACGGGGCGTCCGCGAGGCAGCCGACGTGGCACGTTCGGGGGGACGGGCAGGGCGCGCGCGACGGGCGAACGGGGAGAAAAAATAGCGCATTTCGCGCTGTAGTACGGGCGGGCCCATGATTCTTAAAAAAAAGAGAAGGTTCCGGGAAAGAACCAGCTCTGTACCATGTTAGAATAGTAGCCTAAGTAGACTAGGGTTTTGGGGTAAGAGAGTAGCGAGAGAAACGGAAGAAGGGGGAAAAACACTAATGAGCAAGATACATGATATAGTTCAAGGGAAGGTGAGCACAGTGGTGCACCACCAAATAGTTAAGAACAATAACTGCAGTAACTACAGCACGCAGGATATATATTAAACATAACTTTGACAGATATCTAGACAAGCCATTTTGGGGGTTCCCAAGGGTGCTCCAGTAGTATAGTCACAGAGAGGGAGTGGAGGGGTGAACAGTGACTCTGCGCATTTCTGCCTGTATGGTGCCAGACTCGTGGTTTTACATGCTCCACATGGTAATTTGTTATCTGAACAAACTGTTTCCAGGTTTTTAAGGGCATACAGAGGTTATTTTCAACTGTTACAATTACAGAGAGACTTCAAACCAGCACTGTTTGTGACTTGCTTAGATAATAAATACACCATGGCCGGTGCTGCCATGATATTCCAAACGCCAGCGCGGCAGAGGTGAGTTTGAGTCGACTCAAAAGCCACCTCGTTTCGAGTCGACTTAATAATCACCTTTGTACACCGTTTGTGCGGGTGTAGTCTTCTGCTTCCCGTGGCTGATGCTGCCGTAATATTCCAAACACCAGCGCGGCAGCAAGCACTGCACCACCCGCTAGCAGCAAAGCGAGGCCCAAAAAGTCGTGGGAAGGAGAATTTTCACGAGTCTTTTTCGAGGAGGGTGCAGCAACTGTAATAGGTTCAGCAGTATCAGGGGGAATAAGAGGTTTACGGGGAGGAGGGACGGCATGTACATTAGGAGGAGGATGGTGAGGGGAAGAGGATTGAGGGGGAGGATTAGGGGAAGAAGCGGGACGAGCAGGGGAAGAAGGTGGGGAGGGAGGGGGCTTAAAAAGTTTTGATAGAATGTAGATGGCAGCAGCAGCTGTTGCTGCTAGGAGGAAGATCCAAGGAGATGGGTTGGAAGGTTCCTTGCGGCTTCCATCACCACCGCCGCTGCTGCCGCCGCCGCTACCACCACCACCACCACCACCACCACCACCACCACCACCACCACCACCACCACCACCACCACCACCACCACCACCACCACCACCACCACCACCACCACCACCACCACCACCACCACCACCACCACCACCACCACCACCACCACCACCACCACCACCACCACCACCACCACCACCACCACCACCACCACCACCACCACCACCACCACCACCACCACCACACCACCACCACCACCACCACCACCACCACCACCACCACCACCACCACCACCACCACCACCACCACCACCACCACCACCACCACCACCACCACCACCACCACCACCACCACCACCACCACCACCACCACCCACCACCACCACCACCACCACCACCACCACCACCACCACCACCACCCACCACCACCACCACCACCACCACACCACCACCACCACCACCACCACCACCACCACCACCACACCACCACCACCACCACCACCACCACCACCACTGCCGCTGCGGTTACCGCCAGAACCACCATTACAAGAAACTTTAGGATTTGCATCACCAGCACCATCGCCATCACCACTCCCAGCATTGCCCATTTGAGCACGGACGGAACGGGCTGCAACAGACACCCACGAAGCTGCAGGGTGTTTTCGGGGATTTGAAAAGTTTCTTTGAGAATCGTCAAAAGCACCACCGCCAGCATTACCAACTCGAGCGCGGGTGGAACAGGTTGCAACAGACACCCACGCAGACGCACCATTTGCCCTCCCACGGAGAAATGCTCCTGAGAAACCGCCGGTCCGCCTCACTGCCCATTGTTCCATCGCAGAAACGGGAGCAGCGGTAACCACTGCGACAGCCGCTAGCCAGTTGCTCTGCTGGCAGAAGCGGGAGCACACTGCGTTCCCGTTAAGAGCAGAGGGGGAATGAACTATCGGTGTAGGCAGGCGCGAATGCTGGTAGGCGTACGGCAGCCAGCCCGACGGCTCGAATCGTCCTCTATTGCATCGGGATTGCCGATTGATCAGGGAGATTAACCTTGGTATGGCAATATCGCGGCATGCTGCTGCTGCCGTTGCTGCTGCATGCGCTCCCATCAGTATAAATACGGACTAGTTCCTCGGGGTAACAGTTGGCGATTATGAGTTTAGGGTAAGCGCTCCAATGAACGATGAAGATGCTTCAGGATTTAGAAAGTTAGGAAACCCAATGAGCACATATTATAGCCCTTGAAATAGTCCGAAACGATTCTAAGCGATAGTTATTATCGCCGATCCGGGATCCACAACCTGCGCTGACGTGGCATCCTAGCCGCCGCGATGCTGGTGGCCTGGTTTAGAGACACGCGGAGCGCCGCGCTTCCGTTAGCCTCGAGAGTACCGATAATGAGTGCTCGTAGCGCCATGGCGGATAGTACGGTCTAAAAAAGTTAGTACTCGTTGTGGGATTGGACCGGCGCGTGAGGAGCGCTGGATTGCGAGTAGCGCGGCGTCTTTAGCGTCCTAGGAGACGAAACGGTACGAAATTGCTATATTGTTGGCTTTGCGGCAAATTTATCGGTGTGTACTCGGTATTGTGTGGCTCGTACTGTGTGACGAAACGATACAGTCGATGCTCAGCCTATCACAAAAAATTGCTAATCACATTTAGAAAATTTGTCACAGAAAATTTGCCCGTGAGTGACTATATTGACCATTGTGCTGATTTCGGGGTACAGTCACCAAGTCGCGGAAGAAAACATCTACAGTTCAAAAACAACAACGGCTGCCGGTCATAAGAATTGTTAACCTGGCTACAAACTTAAACCCCGAGACTCGTTTTGCATTCCAATTTCATTTTACAGTCTCATTTTTGCCCGTGGCGACTACGGCGAATGTGGCGAAACACTCAAAACTCGTTTCACGCACATGCCGCCCGCCTATCTGGGTTCTTGAAATGAGCACCGGCTGTATTCTGTTTGCTGTGCTGCAGCTTTGCAAAGCTACACCTCACTTTCTAGTCCCGCCAAAAGTGTTGTCTTGGGATTGTCTTGCCAAGTTGCCAGCCCCTAAGTGAGTTAGGACGCGTCAACTCCTGCAAATTTCGGCGATCGATCTTGTACAAGATCGAATATTACCTGGGTTAGAGGAGGTTCTTTAAAAAATTAGAAGCAAACGCGGGTTTTCAGTGCGGTGGCCGATCGATTTGGCAGGATCGATCGTCGAGATTAGCAGGAGTGACGTGTCCTTATTTCTGCCTGCCGTGGGAACATCATTCCTGGACTTGGCTTTCAGAAGCGTTGCCGGTGTGTTGCATTCAACAGAAGTTCGTGCAGAAGTTCACACAATAGACTGTCAATACCATACGACGATATCGTTCCATGAACGCATGCTTTCACCAGTAAAACGTAGAGATGGATAAGCCTTTCGCGTGCAAAGACACCTTCCCACACCACCCTAGCAAGCGGCCTCGTCAGCAAGACTCTCACGAATCGAATTCCACGTCAGCGAGGCGGTATGTTGTAGCCGTGCACGTGGGAGCGGGTTACCACTCCAAGCGTTACGAGCAGCGGTACCTGCACGCCATGCGCGATGCTCTCGCGGCCGCGGAGCGGCTGTTGCGCGGATCCGGCGGAACATCGGCGGAAGGGCATCAAGGGGAATGCGATGGGGAGAGAGAAGCAGGCCAGCTAGGCGCAAACCATGGCGTATCTGCGGGTTCAGCTTCGGACCGCTGCTGTTCGTCCACGTGTACGGCTGTAGATGCTGTCGTGGCAGCCGTTAGATGCCTCGAGGTGCGTCCACAGTGTTCCAGACATCCAGTCGTGCGTCCATGTCTTCTCTTAATAGACCTAAATAGTTCTACCCTGTTCGTAGTTCGTCTACATTCTCGTCTTCTTTTCAACCACTTCTGTTCACTTCTCGTCAGCGTCTCCTCTTCCCTTCCTTCCTTCACTGAACAATCACCACTGAGACATTCCTTTCATGCATATCCAAACCCAACCCACAGAGCCACAGTATCACCAATGCTGCCCGCGGATCCAATCTGACCGAAAAAGGCGAGGTGGAGTGCGATGCAAGCATCACGGGCAGCATGTTTGGCAGCCGAGCAAAGCTGTTTGGCTCCGTAGCGGCAGCACCAGGTCACTATCCTCCTCCCCTCTCCTCCCCCCCGCCCCGGCATTTCTGCCTAAGTTTCTTAGGGGTGCATTTGCAGATGATATTCAAAAGGTATTTTGGGATGTTCGTTTCTGTCTATGTTCCGTATCCTCTTTGTGCCGCTTCTTTGAAAATTTAACGGTTGGTCAGTTTCATCTAATTCATACCCCTCTGATTCATGCCGCTTCTATCTCTCAGGTTTAAAAAGCCCAGTGTCAGTGGCAGCAGCACTGGCAAGGATGAGACACAAGGGACCTCTTCCCTTCGGCCGCATTCCACCCATGTGTGTCTGTGAGTGTCAGTGTTCTTCAGTGTAAGTGTGATTTTGAGTGCGACTCTGCTGTTTCAAGTCCGTGTGAATGCAGAGAAGAGTGTGAGTGAGTGATTTTATACCAGGGTACAAGGCTCTTTCTTGCTTGAAGAGTGTTGGAAGGTGCTTCGTTTTATCACACTTGCATGAATGCATCGAGGGTCCTTCAGCTGCATATGCTCGTGCCCCCCTGCATGCATGCATCTCTGCATACCTTCATACTGCAATGTCTGCATGTCTGCATGTGCATGGTTGTCAGGATGTTGGCGGGGGAAGGAGCGTTGCTGTGGGCCCAGAAGCATGCGCTAGATGCCGTTACAAGGCGCCCACAGGTGTGTGTGGGGGGGAAGGGAGGGTTTTGTGTGTAGGAGACGTGTGGGGGCTCTGGAGCAACCAACTCCTTTAGAGTCACCTTTGGGAATCCTCACAAGTGATTGCAAACGTTTGAATTCTATGTTCTCTTTTCATGGCAGGATCTGGTGATGGCAGCAGCAGAAGCCCAGTGGCGCAAGTACAGGAGACTTGTAAGGGCTCTGGAGCAGCTTCAAGGGAGAAAGGAGGGGGCAGTAGAGGGAGGAGAGGATCAGGAAGAAGTGCGGGCGCAGCAAGATAGCAAGGACACGTGGGGGAAAGATGCTAAGAGGGAACGCAGAGATGAAGACAAGGGTGATGGGGGATGGGGAAAGTCGAAGAGGGAGGGTGGTGAGGAGGATATTGAAGGTATCGCGGCCAAGGGAGGTGAGGTGGATCGGACGGGAGGTAGAGAGAGAGAGGGAAAGACAAGGGTAGTGGGAAAGGGAGAGGAGGAAGGAGAAGAGGAGGGAGACGAGGGAGAGAAAGAGGGAGAGGGAGAGGAGGAGGATGGACAGAGAGAGGACGAGGAGGAGGAGCAGGAGGGTCCGTGGGACACAGTGGGGGCGGTGTGTTTCGAGGTGGCAAGCGGAGCAGCAGCAGCCGCGTCCAGTGGGGGAATAGCTTTCAAGGTGAGTGCTGTTGCTGGGTGAGAGCTTGGCCTCCTCACCCCTTCAAACCCATCCCTCTGACCATCCGTTTCCCCTTTGTTCTTGCGTCTCCCTCTTTCTCTTTACATGCCACTACCTCTCTCCTTCCCACCTTACACAGGCGCCTGGCAGGGTGGGGTGTGCCGCCATGCACGGGGCTGCCTGTTGGGCTGATGCTTGCAGCAGCACCGCATCCAACCTAATCAAGTCGCCAACACCGGATCTAGCATGCTCTGAGGGTGCTCATATGCTTGCTGTGGCTGCCAGCGTGTCAGGGGCCGGCGAGCCAATTGTGGAGTGCCAGCTGGCACGGTGCGTATGCGAGGCGGCCATGGGAGGTGGGGTATCTGACCCTGCAGCGATGGGGTTAGCCCGGTTCAATGAACACGTGGCAGCTGTGTCAGCAGCATCAAATCAGCATCAGCTGTGTTCGGGCGCACACAATGCAGCAGCAGCAACAACAGCAGCAGCAACAACAGCGGCAATGGGAAGTGGAGAGGAATGGGCAGTGGCCCGTTGCAGCTGATGTTGGTCTGCTAATGCTCTCTGCATACCCGCAGCAAAAGGTACTAACTTATGCACCCAGTGGCCTCTCAGTCTTACCCCCTACCCTCAGCAATTGTGTAATGCTGATATTTGTTTTTTTTGCTCTTGGAGAAATCTATGCCGTGCATCTTTTGTGACTCTGTTGACCTTCTGAGTGGTGAAGTGGCAGTGGAGCTGACAGCTTCCTTCCAGGCTCGTTCGTTTGGATTCGGAGTGACCACTTCCGCTGACTCTCGGTTAGACGTATGTGGTTTTTTCCTGGAGAGTTCTTTTGAGAGGTTGCTCATGTCGGATTTGGTGGTTTTGTGCAGGTCCAGATTATGTGAGCAGCTGACAATTCCAGTCCACCGAGCAATTGCACATTTATGTCCCTCTTTAGGATATAAACGAAGTTGCATTTGTATACTAGTAATGCTTCAATCAAGAGGGAAGAAAGGTTCAAGAGAAGCAACTTAGTTGTCTGTTCTTTATATGCTTTCTTTAGAAACGTGTGCACCTGTGCCTCTCACACTGGAACACCAAGAAATGTTTCGAAACGCCTTATATCGAAGAGAATCTTCGGTGAATTGTCTGCCACCGAAATTGGTTGGCTCAACTTCAACTCACGTCGCTGTCGTAAACGACCAAGTTACCAGATCCCTGACATCATGTCAGAATTTTCGCCCTCCCCTCTGACATCACTGTATGGTGCTCCCACGGACAGGAATGATGTCATGACCTGTGGCTAGAACTGGAATATTGGTGCTTCTGAAACTTCCGCCTGTTAGAGTGGTACTTTTTAGAGTTCTATCACACTACACAATGTAGTGAATAGCTGAAGCGTCAGTCATATCTTAGTTATCTGGCGATTCCTCGCGCGTGATCGGTTCTCCGCACAGTCCAGCTGGTGTTGCTTCCGCCATTATTTTGCTCTCTTAGCTAGTGCCACTAGATAGTAAGTTGTTCAGTTGTAGATGGCGGAGGCAGCGGCTGCAGCAGTGGTGTCGCGACGACATCACGTGGAACCAGCAGACGACGCCGGCGACGCTGGCGACGACAGCGATGAGGCATTGTGTCGCAGGAGTCCTAAAACGAGCATAAGCCGCCATTCGCCAGGGAATTCTCGCTCTTCGCCTAACTCCGGTTCTCTAACCAAGTCCGGTTCGCTACCCAAGTCCGATTCGCTACCGAAGTCCGGTTCGCTTCCTAAGTCGCCGTCAGATGCGTTGCTTGATCCCTCCTCGTCCGCTTACTCTGCCGAGCGCTTGTTTCCGAAGTCGTCCTCGTTATTAGACGACCCCGCTAAGTTCGAGGCTTATGAGCGGCTCAATCGACACCAGGCGAGTTCTTCGAGGTAAGGACGCGGATTTCAAGAGTATTATTATCTCTGCATGATATTATCGGGTTTTACGTGTAGCTTGTCACCTAGCCACCGTTCTTTCCCTTGTGACGAGTAGCCACCATGTGTAATCCAGTAACCAGTAACCACCATTGTCACCCGTTTGACCAGGAACCACCATTCTCACCCATGTAACCAGAAACCACCGTTCTCCCCCATGTAACCAGTTACCAGCGTGTGTTCTTCGTTTTGCCTGTGTGTGCAGCTCCGCCAGCAGCAGCCTTCCTAGGCAGCGCAGTTACACCCGCAGCGTTCCCTCCCCCAATAATGCCCCCTCGCGGCACCAGGGACCACCAGGTTCTCTGGAGCTCTCGGCATTCCCTAGGGAGTCACGATTCCTGGGACCAGAACCATATGAGGGTCGCGCATTGGTTGAAGCTATGGGTAACGGAGGGTTGGAAGGGCCAGGGGTCGATCGGGATGGAGGTGGGGCTGATGTCGCAGATTTTCCAGAATTGTCAGCGTCAGGAATCGAACCCGGGTTTGCTGCACGTTCAGGGCATGCATCTGAACCTGGAGTAGCTTCAGCTGTCGCAGCAACAGTGACAGGAACCCCAAGCTTCGAACCCTCGAAGCCAGGGCCCCCAATTTCAACCCCCCCAGGGTCAGAAGGAAACCTAGGCACAGAAACCCTAATCACAAAAGCCCTAAGCGCAGGAACCCTAACTTTACAAAAGACGCCACAATCGTTCTCACGCTCCTCCCTTAGGCGTTCAAGCGCTCAGGCTGCTCGCTCTTCCTCCTCCGCTTCCTCTCGCGGGAAGCTGAGTGTGCGGTGGGCTTTGGAGGAGGGAGAGGAGGCGCATGAGGGAGTGGGGAGGAGGAGGAGTTCTGTAGGGCGGGTGGAGGAAGGGGATGAGGGGGAGGGGCTGATAGGCGGAGAGGCGGAAGAAGGGAGAGAGGGGGAGCGGAGAGGGGAGGGGGAAGGAGAGGGAGGGGGAGGGAGGAGGCGGAATGGGAAGCTGTTCCGAATTTTGAGTGCGGATTCTTGCGTTGGAGGGGAAACTGGGGGTAGGAGTGGGGCGTATGGGGAGAGGGGTATGGATGAGGGGAGCAGGAATCGGGGGAGAGGGGGGAGAAGTACGGGGGGAAGGGGGGGATGGGGAGGGTCAATGGGGTGGTGGCGGGGATGGGGGAGAGATGCAGCAGAGGGGGAGAGTGTGAGTGATTGGGAGGAAGGAGGATCAGGGGGAAGTGGAGGAGGAGGGGGAGGAGGAGAAGGAGCAGGAGGAGAGGGAGGAGGAAGGGGTGGCAATATGGCAGGGGTGGTGGCAGAGGGAGTGCATTTGTTGGATGACGAGGAGGTGGAGAGGATGGATGAAGAGGTCATACAAGGTACGTGCCTGCACAAGGGTTTCACTTTCACTTGTTGGTGAGGGTTTCATTTCATCTGGAGAAGGTCACTTATGCGGTTTAATTTAAATGCCTCGGATGTGAAGTGAAAGTTGCTGTTTATGAGGCGCCTCAGCGATTTTCTCACAAGCTTCTGCAGGATGGATAAGGTGGCACAGACGCAGCTGCACAACGACAAAAACCTGCTCGCCCACTCCCCCATCCCTTCCCTTTCCGCCACCTTCGGCACCCCCCCTTCCCCCTCTCCCCCCTCCCCCCCTTTGCTCGCTTGCAGCCTTGTTCGAGCGAGTGGTGGAGGCACAGACGCAGCTGCACAATTACAAAAACCTGGTCGCCTTCTCGCTCTTCACCGCGCTCTACCTCCTCATGCTCTGCCTTCAGGTGCCTTCAGGTGTCTTCAGGTGCCTTCAGGTGCCATCAGGTGTCTTCAGGTGCCTTCAGGTGTCATCAGGTGTCTTCAGGTGCCATCAGGTGCCAGATGCCATCAGGTGCCATCAGGTGCCATCAGGTGCCTTCAGGTGCCAATCCTCGCCGTGCGTGAGTCATCCTGT